AGGGTTGGGGTAGGAATCCCAATTTTACAATTTAAAACCATCTCCCTCCTCCAAGGATGATTTTGACCAAGTAAAAATAATTTCCAACAGACAATCGTCAAAATATACCCAAAAGTGTTGTTTCCCTATATAAACTATAGTAAACTTTACCCCCTCCCCAACGGAGAACGGAGAGCTCGGGGGACCTGAAATTTACAATTTAAATAAAGCCCCTGATGATCTTTCCATCCATGCAGGGAAAATGAGTGTAGTACCTCTGAAGCTGGAGAAGAAGATTTTTGAAATATTGGTTAATTTTCCCTTTGGGGCCCCGCCCTGGCCCCAAGGGTTGGGGTAGGAATCCCAATTTTACAATTTAAAACCATCTCCCTCCCCCAAGGATGATTTTGACCAAGTAAAAATAATTTCCAACAGAAAATTGTCAAAATATACCCAAAAGTGTTATTTCCCTATATAAACTATAAAAAACTTTACCCCCCTTCCCAAGGGAGAACGGAGAGCTCGGGGGTCCTGAAATTTACAATTTAAAAAAAGCCCCTGATGATCTTTCCATCCATGCAGAGAAAATGACTGTAATACCTCTGAGTCTGGAGAAGAAGATTTTTGAAATATTGGTTAATTTTCCCTTTGGGGCCCCGCCCTGGCCCCAAGGGTTGGGGTAGGAATCCCAATTTTACAATTTGGTATCCTCATCTACCAAGGATGATTCTGACCAAGTTTGAAAAAATTCCATCCACTGGTTCTTGAGAAGAAGTTGATTATGTAAAAGTTTACGCACGACGCACAACGCACGACGGACGACGACGGACGGAAAGGGATTGGAATAGGTCACTTGAGCAAAGCTCAGGTGACCTAAAAATGGATTTCAGATTACAAAACAACATTTAGATTGATTGACAAAAAATATCTTCCATTTCCATTTTTGACCAGTCAAAATATATTACAAAAATAAAAGAACAAGGCCCTTTTCGTGTATGGAATCCAACTGTAGCTCAGATCTGAACCAAGGCTGATGTCTGGCAAATTCAGCATGTGCGTATTGAGGGGTCCAAACATGCCTGAACGAAACTAAAATGCTGACTCTTGTTAATTTACATCAATATTATTTCTGCATGAAACATTATGTCAGTATGTCTGTATGCTTTAGGATGTGGTAAAATGCACATGTATTATTCTTGATATACTGTTGTTCATTTGTGAAAAAACAATTCTTAAACTGTGCATTTTTAGCTCTGTCTTTAAGTTTAGCGCAGTTTCAGTCCAAGTGGGTTCCTTCATTGCAGAATATATCTGCACCATCTGAACTGTTTCAACTGGGATATGCGAAAGCAACCTTATACTTTTCATGCTTTGAATGCCAACCTAAAACACCACTGCAATCAGTATTGAATACTCAAGAGGATAAACACTGTATAATAATAAAGTACAGATTTTTAAATGTTTGGAAAACTCACAATTTTTTTGAAAGTAGAGCAAAGGGAAGTAATTCATTCTTGTCGAATTATGTTCAGCATCCCAAAATTGTCAAAAGTTTTAATACTTTAATAAGATGTTGACTTGAACATTTTTATTTATAAGTACAAGCTAAATTCTTAGATGAGATAAGGGGTCAAAATCAACAAAATTGGACACATAAAAAAACGAAAGAAAGATACGTATTCACTCTAAAGCACTTGTACTCGAACTCTTAGAAGATATAGGGAGTCAAAATGAACAAAGTTTGGCATGGGAAAAAAACAAAACATATTCACAAGCTGGTATTGTTTTAATGTCGTCTACCTAAAGCCTTGTTGAGTGGGTCCTTAGTATCTATAATAGGCGACGCTTCTCCATCATCTTTAGCGGTCAAAAAATCTGAAACAAAAGGGGAAAATATTCACAGCACTACTTAAAACATACAACAGGAATTAGTGGATTTATTTAGAATTTAACTCATTCACCCCTGGAGACACATTTGAACTCTTCCAATTCAAAGGGTGGAATAACTCATTATGAAATTTCAGGTGTGGATGTTAATCAATTTCAAAGTATTGGCAATGCTAACCGTTTGTAAAATTGAAGCATCTTTTATGGTACAGCAGAAAGAATGAACAAAAAATCGAAGGCTACTGCTCGGACAGTTCATGATTTCAACCAATCAAAGTGATAGAAGGTGATCATCAATCGGTTGATAAAAATGCAAGGATTGAATCTTGTTTTGTATTGAGGTTTCTGGGCAGTTCATATCAAATTTGTCTGAAGACCCATTGAGGTTTATACCCCATAAACGTCAACACAACAGGATTCAATCCTTATATTTACATTCAGTGCGATTTTGATATTTCTTGATAATTTCTAAAATATTGGACTTGTGCAAGTCTACGCCATGGAAGGGTGCCAATGCATGTGATGTCATCACTTACCCAAAAATGTTACATTTAAACAAGAGGCCCAATGGGCCTGCATCGCTCACCTGTTATTAATCTAACACTTGTAATCTTAAGATTTCATAAGAACCTATTAAAAGATTTAAACATATGACGCCTCTGACCTTGTTGTCGAACAAGGACATTAGGTTGAAAGTGGATCAAGGTCATTCATTTGAACTAAAATGGTAGTCCTTCATCCCAGCATGCTACAGGCCAAATTTCAGTACCATGGCCCTTTTTGCTTATTGAAAAGAAGTCGCTTGAAGATTTTACGACATTTGACCCCTGTGACCTTGAAAATTGGTCAAGGTCATTCAGTTGAACAAACTTGATAGTCCTTCATCCCAGCATGCTACAGGCCCAATATCAGTACCCTGGGCCTTTTGGTTATTGAGAAGAAGTTGTTTGAAGATTTTACGACATTTGACCCCTGTGACCTTGAAAGTTGGTCAAGGTCATTCATTTGAACAAACTTGGTAGCCCTTCATCCCAGCATGCTACAGGCCCAATATCAGTACCCTGGGCCTTTTGGTTATTGAGAAGAAGTTGTTTGAAGATTTTAAGACATTTGACCCCTGTGACCTTGAAAGTGGGTCAATGTCATTCATTTAAACAAACTTGGTAGCCCTTCATCCCAGCATGCTACAGGCCCAATATCAGTACCCTGGGCCTTTTGGTTATTGAGAAGAAGTCGTTTGAAGATTTTAAGACATTTGACCCCTTTGACCTTTGAAAGTTGGTCAAGGTCATTCATTTGAACTAACTTGGTAATCCTTCATCCCAGCATGCTACAGGCCCAATTTCAGTACCCTGGCCCTTTTGCTTATTGAAAAGAAGTCGCTTGAAGATTTTACGACATTTGACCCCTGTGACCTTGAAAGTTGGTCAAGGTCATTCAGTTGAACAAACTTGATAGTCCTTCATCCCAGCATGCTACAGGCCCAATATCAGTACCCTGGGCCTTTTGGTTATTGAGAAGAAGTTGTTTGAAGATTTTAAGACATCTGACCCCAGTGACCTTGAAAGTGGGTCAATGTCATTCATTTAAACAAACTTGGTAGCCCTTCATCCCAGCATGCTACAGGCCCAATATCAGTACCCTGGGCCTTTTGGTTATTGAGAAGAAGTTGTTTGAAGATTTTAACATATTTGACCCCTGTGACCTTGAAAGTGGGTCAAGGTCATTTATTTGAACAAACTTTGTAGCCCTTCATCCCAGCATGCTACAGGCCTAATATCAGTACCCTGGGCCTTTTGGTTATTGAGAAGAAGTTGTTTAAAGTAAAAAGTTGATGCCGGAACGACGGACGACGGACGGACGGACGGACGACGGACTCCGCACCATAACATAAGCTCACTTGCCCTTCGGACAGGTGAGCTAAAAACAGGTTGTTCCACATAGACGAACAGGCCCCAGGTCTTGTAACCAGAGAATGCTATCTAAATTCTATCAGTGTATGGGTATTCTATTTTTTGTCAATATGTAGATATCGGCCCATTGGTAATTATGTAGTGAGATACTATATATTTTGCAAATAGCACAATTATAACTTACCCAGATTAAATCCCTCAGAGTCGAGAGTGAGTTGTGGTTCCATTGTCTTCATCCTCTTTACAGGGCGAGAGTCCGGTTCATCAAGACTCTTTTTTTTTTATATAAGAAACACCATAGCATCAATTAAAAACAATCATTTCCTAGTTTTTAGTTAAAACATATCAAATTTACAAAAATGGAACACATAATCGTATTTAATATAAATTTTCATAAAAATTGAAACATGATTTTTTTCTGGACTTAACCCTTTCACCCTTAGGTAACTTTGATAGACTCTATCATACATTTATATGGACGAGTCCATTTTAGTCTACAGTGATGAATTGGTTAGGATCCCTGTAATGCTGCCAAAAGTTGAAACTATAGCCCTGACACCGGACTTAGACACATTGACAGATAGATGTCCTGTGTGGGGCCAGAGCGCACCATTATATCAATACATGGAATTATCTGTCACTAGTTTTGAGGTGCTGACAATAAAAATCTGCTATTACACAACACCTACCTCACATTTATCATTAAATTGGTTATTTATTTATCTAAATCCACCCTCATCATCACCAACCGCTGCTTAATACCGTAAGCTGACACCTAGGTTTTCAATCGTTCAAAATTTCCCCATCAGGGCCAGAGGAAACTTAGGCTTTCCTGACCTGCGTTCTCAAATGTGAAGTAGGTGATACAGATTTATTTCTTGATCATACCTCCAATTCCATCTCCTTCCGCGAGCGTTTGCTGTAGCCCCTTCTGGTGTGGGACATGGTGGCTGTCAGAGAAATTACAAGGAACAGTGCTATATAATATAATATTTTGATGATGTTTTTCAGACTTTGCAATTATTCTTGAAGAAATATATAAGTTTTCCAGATTAATGACCACATTATAGCTGATGTTGTTTTAATTTTTTTCTTTCAAACCATCTTAACTCATTCACCCCTGAAGACACATTTGAACTCACCCAATTCAAAGGTTGGAAAAGTTCATTATGAAATTTCAGGGGTGAATGAGTTAGTGATAAAAATATTGTGTGATACAGCAAACTTCTTAAATGGAATGATTGACAAACTCAAAATTTGTACACAATAAGAGTTATGAAAGCGGAAGATTATAAGATATAAGATACACCCGTTCTACTGTTACACGCCAGTAATAATGGAAGCGTACTCACCCTTGCCTGCCACACTGCGTGCAGTCTGTGCAGCTACAATACACAGGACGCACGCCTTGGCCAGGATATAGCCTCGTGGGTCTGTCAGGAGCTGTTGTTTGTCGGCAGACTGGAGTAGTTTCGGTACAGTGTGCAATAACAAACTCAATGTGATGTGCTCCAAGTCCAGGTGAAACACAGCAAACAGGAGGCCCAGAGCCTGGGTCAGGTCTTCCAGCCGAGAGCTATTCAACATGTGCTGAAAAAGATAATTCCATTCTGTTAAACATTTTTTAAAGCTAATTTTCACAAATAAATCTGTTGATGCAAAACTTTGTGGTTGATCAGCATTTTGTGAATCATTTTGAATTGTGCACATGAGCTGTTCTGATGCGACAGCTACTATAGTGTAAACCACCAATGAAAAATTACTATTTTACTGCATATACAGATTTGCTTGTAACATGAAATTAATACTTGAATGATCAGGATACTGGGATCATTGTTACACTATTATTTGAATGAATACACACAAGAACAACAGGATTTTTTTTCTACCCCACCGTTGTAAATCTTCTATTTTCCAAAGACCTTCAGGCTATAAGTAGATGTCTTCCTATATATAATGCTGATTATTTTAAGTGCAAGGATAGCAGGCCTTTTGTGGCGAATGATATCCACAATGTACAAGGTCTGCATCCATGACCTAAGACTGTGTTAGTCGAGATTTTGAAAAAGTTAACAATGTTTATTTTTCAATCCAGGTGAAAATCATTTTGCACATTCAATTTGGGAACAATGTACGCATGTCTTCTGAGCGTACCATTTGAACACGAAAATTGTCTGTGTCACTATGGTAACACTTTCTCCAGTGGTTTTATTCTGATGACTTAAGGGCTGCAACGATACATTATCACGACGATATGATGTGTATCACGATACTGTGGTTATGATACGATACGTATCACAATATACATATAACAGTAGAAGAAAAGAGAAAAAGATGTGCTGCAAATTTTTAATGGCAGTATTAATATAACTGGAAATAGACTTGATCGAAAATGGGCAGGACTCTAAGAGTTTCACACAATTCACATCTTTCGATGTGCAAGCCGAGCTGGAGCAATCACTTGCCATGTTGGAACGGCTTTGAGAAGACTAAAATTCAGAAACAACAAAATCCGGAAAAATATCGTAGGTGTATCATAGCCTCCCAAAACATATTGTGTATCGTACCGTATTCAAAATATCGTAGTATATCGTTGCAGCCCTACTGATGACTCATAAATGTAACAAGCTCATTGCCAGTCACAGAACTCATTGAAAGTGTGTGCATACCTAATTCCTGTCCATCTCCTTACATTAACCTTATTGGTTGTGCATTCTAGATTGCTATCGATCACACAGACATACCAAGATGGCGCGATCACAGAACCAGTCCGATCCACACAGATTGAGTAGCTGTTCCAGAGTGTGAACACTCCTCAGGTCTATCCAGCCTTTGGCCATCACTCCCTTCAGACATTTCTCCATGACTGCGCTGGGCACGGCATTGGGAGGAATAAACTGCATCGACGTGTCTTTTATGTGGGGCGGTAGAATGTCATTCACCATTTTTCGGAGTATGATTCCCATCAAATGAGACCTAAACAGAATTGTTTAGAATCAAAGTTGACATTGGGTTTTTTTCATCACAGTGTACTACTCTTGTCAAAATTGAGACATAAGTTAGACAAAACCATTCATCCCAACAAAAGGCCCAATGGGCCTGCATCGCTCAATGGTATTAATCACTTGCCACCTTAAAAGTGGACTAAAATACGCTACAGGCAAAATATCAGTATCTACGACTAAGTCATTCAAAAGAACCTGTTAAAAGATTTAAACATATTTGACCCCTGTGACCTTGAAAGTCTAACAAGGTCATTCAGTTGAATATACTTTCTACGCTTTTGCCTTTTGCAAAACCTTTTGCTTATTGCGATGAAGTCATTTAAAAGTTTAAACACATTTGACCAAACGTGACCTTGAAAGAAGGTAAAGGTCATTCACATGATATAACTTATTACCTTTTCATCTGAGCAGGCTATATATAGCTACTGGCAATACATCACCACACTTATTTCATTTTGGTTATTCCGAAGCTGCTTTTTTAACATATTTGACACCGGGAACCTTGAATTTGAGTCAAGGTAATTCATTTGATAAAACCTGGTAGCCCTTCATCCCTGCATTCTACTAGCCAAATATCATCACCCTGGGCCTTTTAGTTATTCAGAAGACATTGTTTTACATTTCAACATATTTTACCCCTGTAACATTAACTATGAGTGAAGGTCATTCATTTGAACAAATGCCTTTCATCCCTTTATGATACTGACTAAATATCATCAGCCTGGGGCTTTTGGTAAGTCACAAGAAATTTGTTTAAATGTTTTAAAGACAATTGACTCCTGTGACCTTGAATATGGGTAAAGATCATTCATTTGAACAAACTTGAATTGGTAGCACTTCATCACAGCCTCAGTTTATACAAAATTGAGTCTTTTTACCCCAAGGATGCTCCAGACCACATTTGGTTTAAATCCCTTCATTTGTACAGAAGGAAAAAGATTTTCCTGTTTCCCCTATTGGGCCCGCCCTCTGCCCCTTGGTGTACGTGCCACACCCTCTGTTCGTACCAAATTGAGAACCCTTTGGCCAAAGACTCTCCAGACCAAATTTTGTCTAAATCCTCTGAGCTGTTATCCACTGCCAAACAGGACAACCCTAAGCTGTAGAACTACTCACCTCTCTCCATAATAGATCTCCGGGTCAGGAGAGCTGATCTTGACCTGTAGTCTCTGTAGCATCTGTAAGGGTTTCTCTCTGGCATCATCTCCCACTGTGTTCATATAGCTACACAGCCAGGCAGACATCACCACCGGAATACTGCACATACGACTCTGACTTCTCTCTAGTATCACCTAAACAAACACCACAAATCTATCACTTTGATCTTCAACAAGATTCATCAGTTTGGAAATATGTAGTATCAAAGTTTTACGTCTTGCCTGTGCCCCGTTTTGATCATCAATGCACATATCAAGTTTGGTTCGTCTAGGACTTCTAGTTTCAGATGCTGACAAAGTCAATAGACCATAAAATGTAGGCAGCATTTGATGCATCAGTTGAGATGTATTACCTAAGATACATATATGGTCCAAGTTTGGTTGGTGGAGCACTTATACTTTCAGTGAAACTAACTTAAACGAAAAATAACATGTTGAGGCCGCGGCCGTAGCCGGATTATACATCTTAGTCTCGCTTCCGCTACTTTGTGGTGGCAAGACAACAAACAATGTACATATTAAACGTGTCCTAACGTTTTAAGTTCAACTGGTTCCTTTGTCCCACTATTGACTGAGTGACCGATGGGTTTGAAACCTAGACTGGCCCCCTGTTGCGTTTTCACACTCATAACTTTTGTTGTTTATGTCTTTTTTTGTATTATTTCATCTTTTTTTTTCTTTTCTTTATAAAAAACTGTAATCTATGGTTTTCCATTCAGAAATAAATCATCATTTTTTTGGGAAAAGGCCCCAGAGCAGGAATTGGGGAAAATGTCATTGTCAATAAGCAAAAACTAGAAACTATCATCAGTGTTACCAAATGTACAAGTTAGGAAAATTTTGTAAGTTTGGAAAAAATAAAACCTGCAATGTGATTAGCAAAATGTTTTCCTCAAGCTGTCTCTTGCAGTAAAATTTATAGCAATAAATCAACACATCAATTTTCAGTGTTTTTGTTTATTCAATTTCAAATTTTCGTAATTTATGCATTTTGAATGCTCCTTCATGGACGGTAATACCTTGAAAGATGTACATACAACAACTAGAAATTGGGAAAATACAGATTCATTTTTGCATTTGGGAATGGGTCCCTGTACCTGACCCTATAAACACCTGGCTAAAACCCTGTATAGTCATGCATGAAAATCTTTTCCAATACATTGTTACTGTTTTGGGCAAAGAGATTCTTAAATTCTGCTCTTGCCATTAAAAAAAATACAAGAGAGCACCAAAACTATAATTCAAACTCAAAATCGGTAAAACTAGGGCAAAATATGAACAAAAAGAAAGACTGACATGGCCTCCCTTGAAAAAGTAAAAGTAAAATAAGACCAGGTGTTCTGGAGGGGTAGGCATCTACCGCTTCATTGATGACACCACCCAACATGTAAATTTAGATCAAATACAACTAATGTCCATCCCTAAAGAGTGAATTCCTTTCAGATAATGGTATAGTACAGCATATTAATTACAAACTCTCAAATGCCTCAAAATAAGTCTGCCTTACAGCATTGTTTTGCTGTATATATAGTCTGCCTTACAGCATTATTTTGCTGTATATATAGTCTGCCTTACATCGTTATTTAGCTGCTTATATAGTCTGCCTTACCGCATTATTTTGCTGTATATATAGTCTGCCTTACAGCATTATTTTGCTGTATCAATATAATATATAGCCTGCCTTACAGCATTATTTTGCTCTATATAGTCTGCCTTACAGCATTATTTTGCTGTATATATAGTCTGCCTTACAGCATTATTTTGCTGTATGTATAGTCTGCCTTACAGCATTATTTTGCTGTATATATAGTCTGCCTTACAGCATTATTTTGCTGTAAAGTTTTTATGTTATTAAGCACATTAATGATGCAGACATTCCAAATTATTTACTATAAGACTTTAAAATCAAGAATTCAAAATAAGCTTGTTTGTATTATTCCTGTTTTATTGTATTCTATTTCTTGTCCACAATAGCAATCAGACCCTTACCTTAACATTATCTGAGCCCAAAGCTCCATGCTCCCAGGCAAACAACACTTCTTGAATGGCAAACGGAGCATTCAGGCAGATTTCATGCCATTTTGTTGAACTGAAACAACAAACATCATCTTATGATACTGAAACAGTTCTAGATCAGTATTTGTACAGTATAACCTGTCTAAACCGAATGTCACCAGGACCAAACTATTTGACCGGTTTACACAGGTGTACGGTTTATACAGGGTCGGCATGTCATTTTTTGAAAATACAAAAATGTAGTGTTTTGCATACGATCTGTATACAAGTGTGTCAACATAAACAATAGAGAATTTTCAAAATATACAGTTTATAGCACAAATGAAGGAAGGGTGACCGACATTGGATAGCGCTAATTTGTTTAGAATGTGTTTGCTTTAGATTACTATGCCAACTTTTGTGAAATAACGCCGGTTTTCGAAATTGACAGGGTTCGGTTTATACAGGGTTTAAATACTATGATGATATAGGAAATATGCCGTACCACAAATCACAGCCGGATTAGGCGGGATCCAGATTAGACAGGGGCCGGTTTAGACAGGTTATACTGTATACATATGCATCACTGTGATTAGATGTAATAACGTTAAAAACTCATTCACAGATCCTGTAGTCATTTTAAAAGCATTCAAGCTAAATACAGATTGCTAGCATGTGGATTTCAACTCTAGTATGATCTATACCATATAACCCATGATTTACCTCCCCTGAACCAGGTTTAACACTTATTCTGACTTATGTTAGACCTTCACTTTCCTCTGGCTTGACCCCTACATCGATCCTTGTCTGACCTCTATTTTGACCCTTGTTTGACCTCTACATTGATCCTTGTCTGACCTCTACTTTGACTCTTGTTTGACCTCTATATTGATCCTTTTCTGACCTCTATTTTGACCCTTGTTGGACCTCTACATTGATCCTTGTCTGACCACTACTTCGACCCTTGTTTGACCTCTACATTGATCCTTGTCTTACCTCTACTTTGACCCTTGTTTGACCTCTACATTGGTCCTTGTCTCACCTCTATTTTGACCATTGTTTGACCTCTACATTGATCCTTGTCTGACCTCTATTTAAACCCTTGTTTGACCTCTACATTGATCCTTGTCTGACTTCTTCTAAGACCCTTACTTGACTTCTACACTGACCTCTGTTTGATCTCATCGCCTCTGGTCAGCTGGCTGAGGAGAAGGTCAACCTTTGCCTGGTCAGTACCACTGTAGTTATCCACACACTTGTACCTGCCATCCTCAGGCAGACAACGCTGGGCCCACTGGATGAAGAAAGAGTCGGCGTACTCTGGCGACATCGATATCATCTGCGAAAAAATCTGCTCCAGTCTTACAAAGAGACATCATATTTAACGTAGCTAACAGAGATCAACACCAAACAGAAAAAAATGTGTTTTTGTTCCTTTCTTCTCATTACAAAACTGAAATCAGATATTCTTCAAGGGCTGAGTTTGTTTCGAACACAAACAGGAATCCAAAACTTATTTTGTGAGCTACGGGGGAAGATGGGTAAACATGTTACCTGTACGCGTGACTGCCTGCAGTATAAGAGGGCAAATGGGTAAAATGTCTCTATAAATTTTGACAGCTGACTTTACCGATTCAGCACGCCGTGGCTTAGTGAGTTGTTTTCAGTGGTTTAGGGTCAAGACACCGGTCATTTGCACTCTCTGCTTGACAAAGGAAACAGATCTTTTCGAAAGATTGTGAAAATAAGTTTTTCAATTCCTGTTTTTGTTTAATATAAACTCAGCCTATATTATTAATATCTAACTGATTAATCTAACTCCCAATATCAGATGTCCTTTGCTTACTTTATTCTCAATAATATTATGACTGATACATTATAATAATATTATTATATCTGCACACGTAACCAATATAAAAGTGTTTCATTGTATTCATGCTCTCATCACAATTTAAAAGGAAAAGTTCAACTTTTTATTACGTTGTCTCGATATTATTTAGTAATCATCACAATATAGTAATTGTATTACTTGTTTAAAAAAATAAAAATAAAAAAAAAATGTGGCAGTGAAAATAAAGACGAGATATTTTCTAAAAAGATACCTCTATTCCGTGCAGCTGTGTGATGTGGCAGAGCATGAGGAAGGAGATATCAAACAGCAGTACCCGAGTCTGAGCCGCCTTCCCGGCCTCACCCTGAGTCTGCTTCGCAAATTCATTTATTCTGGAAGTAAATTTACAGATTTTAACTATTAAGGAATTTACCAAACACATCATTTCCTATAAGAAGTGAACACAAGCATTGTAACAGTGGGTGTTTTTTTTTAGTTTATTCGAGGGAGCAAGAATACACATTGTAACAGCTTTTGAAACAAGTTATCCAGAGAAGTGAACAAAACTTTTGTAACAGCTTTTTAAACCCAATCATCTGTGGGAGTTGAAATAGAAAAAATAAAAGATTTAACCGCATTTATCCCCAGAACTGGAATCACACATTTTAACAGATTTTCAAATAGTATATACCCTTTGATTTAAAAGAATCCCACATCCGTTCCTTCAAATGAAAAATATTTTGCACTAATGTTTATTGTTTTTCATGTATTCACAGATAATATAAGCTTTGAACAAGAGGCACAGAGGGCCTGAATCGCTCACCTGAATATTTGAGCAATCATGGGGAAAATATTCAAAGTACTTTTGCAAATATTTCCATTACTGAGTCTCCTTGGCTTAAGAATGTTCAAGACTAAATGAAACTTTATACTTCTCTTGCCCAGCATGCTTATGGTCAAATATCATCACCCAGAGCCTTCTGGTATTACAGAAGAAGCTGTTTAAAGATATTTATATATTTGACCCATGTGACCGTGAAAGTGGGTCAAGGTCATTTATTTGACTAAACTTTATAGCAATTCATGCCAGGTACCTATAAGCAAAGTATTATTACTCTGGGCCTCCTGGTTAGAAGTTTGTTAAAGGGTTTTACATATTTAACCCCTGTGATCTTGAAAGTAGGTCAAGGTCATCTATTTGAGGAAACTTTATAGCGCTCTGTCCCAGATACAATGTACCTACTGGCCAAATGCCATGGCCCTAGGTTCTCCAGTTCTTAAGAAGATGTCGTTCAAAGAAAAAGGTGACGAACAACGGACAACACACCACATACAATAAGCTCAACTAGCATTTCGTGCCAGGTGAGCTAAAAATAGTTGTATCTGCAGAATATTAAGTGAAAGCATCCATTAAAAGAAGAAATGAGACTGATTGTGCTACCAAGGGTTGTCTTCCCTCTAACCAAACATTTTCATGTCTTTTTCACATAATTTCATCGAATGACAACAAGACATATTTAACCTACTTGATAAGTTTGGTTGCAAAACTCTGAAGCTCTCCGGTTGCAGCTGCTGCGGCTAAGATGAGTTCGAAGCTTTTCCCAGACAACATCTGACAAAGCACGCCCATCAATGCGTCCTGGTTCTTGGAGCAGTCGGCGTCCAGAGTCTACAACAGAGAAAAGGGGCCTAAATCTTTCACCCCTGCAATTTCATAATGAACTATTCCATCCTTTGAATTGGAAGAGTTCAAATGTGTCTTCAGGGGTGAATGAGTTAATTCAACAGTCATCAGAATAATTTTATCCACAAATTTGATTTAGGTACTCACACTAATTTAAGTACGTAATTTTATAACAAAGATTATATTAAAAAAAATCTTTTATCTGTTTTGGAGGGAATGTAAAATTACAAGTAGTTAAATTGGTTGATGAATTGTTTTAATTATGATTTTTAATTTTTAATCTTTCACTGACATGCTGCATTGCAAAGCGAGTGATGACTAATATATTCAGTTCAAGATCTTACAATCTTTGGCCAACCCTTGTCTCTATTAAATTTACTTTCTTTATCAAACAGTGGTGACATTTGAATAGTGTGTTAATAGTTTGCTAAATTATTTGCTATAAATGCGACCAAAACCTCATAAATCACCAATTTCTATTTTTCGGACTATAAAACATTTTTTACAGTAAGCAAGAATGGCATATTAAGTATAAATATAATTACGCCTGTAAAAGTTCATAATCAGCTCCAATTAATTATTTCATTTTGAAATGTTTTTTTACAACAATTTCTAGAGGTCAGTTGTTTTCACCTGTATGCCTTAAGCTTATATCAGACATCTTAAGACACAGCAAATGTCAGGCTAATTCTATCTTTAGAATTAATAAAATAACAGTTTTATTATAAATATCTGAACTTTCAAGGGGCACTTGAATAAGTAGGAAAGTAACTTCAATGTTCAGCTCTTTAAAAGATAATCATGGCAAAATTATGTAATTAATCTAAATGATAAGAAAGTGATACATGAAAAAGGTTTTAAGATTTTTTGTTAGTAAAAGCTGCTTTGAAGCGTTGCAGTTTATAAGGGAAAGGTTGCCAACGAATAATACAAAAAATATAATGTAATAGATGTTACACCATACAAGGAAAGACACAAGGAAAGTTATTTTATAATGTGTCTCATATAATGTGTTTCAAAGAAATAAATTATAATGTGTCTCATACAAATAAATTATAATGTGTCTCATAGAAATAAATTATAATGTGTCTCACAGAAATAAATTATAATGTGTCTCACAGAAATAAATTATAATGTGTCTCATAGAAATAAATTATAATGTGTCTCATAGAAATAAATTATAATGTGTGTCATAGAAATAAATTATAATGTGTCTCATATAATGTGTTTCAAAGAAATAAATTATAATGTGTCTCATACAAATAAATTATAATGTGTCTCATAGAAATAAATTATAATGTGTCTCACAGAAATAAATTATAATGTGTCTCACAGAAATAAATTATAATGTGTCTCATAGAAATAAATTATAATGTGTCTCATAGAAATAAATTATAATGTGTGTCATAGAAATAAATTATAATGTGTCTCATATAATGTGTTTCAAAGAAATAAATTATAATGTGTCTCATACAAATAAATTATAATGTGTCTCATAGAAATAAATTATAATGTGTCTCACAGAAATAAATTATAATGTGTCTCACAGAAATAAATTATAATGTGTCTCATAGAAATAAATTATAATGTGTCTCATAGAAATAAATTATAATGTGTGTCATAGAAATAAATTATAATGTGTCTCATATAATGTGTTTCAAAGAAATAAATTATAATGTGTCTCATACAAATAAATTATAATGTGTCTCATAGAAATAAATTATAATGTGTGTGTCTCATAGAAATAAATTATGTGTCTCACAGAAATAAATTATTATGTGTCTCATATAATGTGTCTCATAGAAATAAATTATAATGTGTGTCATAGAAATAAATTATAATGTGTCTCATATAATGTGTTTCAAAGAAATAAATTATAATGTGTCTCATACAAATAAATTATAATGTGTCTCATAGAAATAAATTATAATGTGTGTGTCTCATAGAAATAAATTATGTGTCTCACAGAAATAAATTATAATGTGTCTCATATAATGTGTCTCATAGAAATAAATTATAATGTGTCTCATAGAAATAAATTATAATGTGTCTCATAGGAATAAATTATAATGTGTCTCATATAAGTAAAATTAATAAATTTTCTGTTTATCATTAATGAAACACGACAAAATGAAAACTATACATAATTTGATTAAGGGATTTTTTAAGTTTAACTCATTCCTTTCTTTTTTGTAGAGGTATTCATTTATATATTTTTGTGTTTTAGATTTTTTACTTTTTTTTTTAGTTTTGAATTTTAAGCACAGACATAATTTAGTACAAAATGCTAAGCAGTGTACAGTGGTTGCTACCATTTCCAAAACTTTATATGCCAGAAGACATAGATTAGATATAATAAGATCACACATCATAATACAGTAACCAAAAGGATACAAAGTCATGCACTAATTAACATAGAAATATACGATAAATGTTTGGTTTCAAACCTTAACATCATGTAGCTGACTCGCATTATTATTAATGGATTAAATTCAAGCTAGCATATATATGCATGCAGAAATTGAAAGAACCATGGGAAACAATGAAAACATGAAAACACCTTAAAACATAGATATACAAGTAGTTCAAGCATACACGAGGGATATATCTTAATACCAAGGTTCTTGAGCCATTTTCTTTTTTTAATATTTATATTTTTCACCAGCTTTCTGGCATTGTACTTATAATTACCCCCTCCCCGGTCTTAATCTTGTACTCCTCTTTTCAACCCCCTCTTTTTGAAGTTCATTACATCATATTTGCTCCTCTAGCACTCCCCAGCCCTTGATTTCCCTTCTCAATTTCCCCTTTCTTCTGTTCTTCCTAATCTTTACTCAATAAGATGAGTGTTGGACAATTTGAAAGATGGGTCTTTCCACGTGCAAGCCGAGCTGCAGCTGATACTCGCCATGTTGGAACCGATGAGTAGACTTAATTCAGAAACAACAAAATCCTGAAAATATCGAAGGTGTACCGTAATGTATCAAAATATTGCGATATATCGTTGCAGCCCTAATTTAACCACAGTAGCATCTATGTCACACATTGTAGGCACACTTGATGATGGTGTGCTGCATTGTGTCCAATTTTGATGCTGGTGTGCTGCATTGTGTCCACTTATACATGTACTATATATTTTCAACGTAGAATTAAAGTGCAGGAGAAAAATACCCACTACTCGGTAAGGCAAACAGAGAAATCTCAACGCTCAAGATGATATTTTTTAAAGTTTAGCATAGAGCTTTGCAAAGTGCTAGACTTCAAAAACCTTACCCTTGGGTTGATATTTCTCCCAGATTCTATCAGTCTGCACAAACTGCTATCATTCCCCATCCACCAGCCCATCGGTTAGATTATCATTTTATCCTATTCCCAAAAATAAACTTGGGTGTAGGTTTAACTGTTAGTACACTGTATATATAACCTACGTTACGGTCTTTACTGGAGCAGTCAAGACGGATCTTATCCTCCAGAGTCTGAAAGAAAACAAAATGAATGGACTTCACTGCAAACAAGCATTTCTACAGGGTGCAGCAGAGACAGACTGACCAATCACATAACTGATTCACATACTTAACTGGGATTCACATTTTTTTTTACTGGGATTCACATAATTTACTTGGATTCACACACTTTACTGAGATTCACATACTTAACTGGGATTCACATTTTTTTTTACTGTGATTCACACACTTTACTAAGTTTTCCCATACTTTACTGAGATTCCCATACTTTACTGGGATTCACATTCTTTACTGGGATTCCCATAATTTACTTGGATTCACATTCTTTACTGGGATTCACATATTTTATTGGGATTCACATATTATATTGGGATCTCAATTCTCATGAACCAATCAATTTGTGTTATATAACTTGAGGAAGATTAATTGTTACTTTTTTTTCTTTATACAAAGAAGTTTTATAAATTACTTCAGAGCTGAAATGTTTATATTACCCTCACCGATTTGATCAGTTTGACACGATGTAACAGTTAGAGCCAGCCATTAGGGGGAGAAAACTTTATTGCAATATGTTGCAATACTAAAATATTTAAAAAAAACATGAAAATCTTACATGAATAGCATATTTGCACATGTTAGGAATAGATCATCATGATGGTGGAGAAACACTGACATTATAAAAGTGTTTATGATTAACAGTTGAAATACCCTTAAATTCAATCACATATTCTATCATATATAAGAAAACTTTCTAATACCCATGTAAATGATATTGAGATCCAATATTTCATAGAGCATTTGACTTCAATTTGATCAATATACGCTGTAAACCTGTCTATAGGTCGGATTAACCTGTCTTATCTGACACACTAGAATACAATATATTGGTCACATTAACCTGTCTAATCTGACACCCTGTGGAACACATCATATTTATGGGATTATCCTGTCTAATCCCACACCCTGTGGGACATACAATATTGATCAGATTACCTGTCTAATCTGACACCATTTGGGGCATAAAATATTAATCAGATTACCTGTCTTATCTGACAACCTGTCAGACCTAACATACTGGTCAGATTAACCTGTCTAATCTGACACCAGTCGGGACATAATATATTGATCTGATTAGACAGTATATCAGAATATCAGGTATTTTTTTATAGGAAAAGGGAGTTGAACATTATGTTAGATTAGGCAGAATTTCAGAACATTCAGGGTTCAGATTAAACAAGTATCAATTTGCTATTCTTTACTTTATCATTACAATTTATTGTTGTTGTTTTTTCATAAATTTTACATTCCTTATATTGGTTTAACAATAATTTCTATAATACATCATGTGAAACAGTTAGGACTTTAAAACAAGGTTTGTGAAGTCTTATATTGACTAACCCTTTTCACCCCTAGCTAGGTAGCTGGAGTAGACTCTACAATACATTCATCTGGATGAGTCCATTATGGTCTACAGTGGTGAACGGGTTAAGGGAAGAAATTTGCTATCACCTGGTGTACAGACTTTAGATAGATAGCTTGTTATGACTCTTTGCAACATTCCACTATGACAGCTGACAGCTGTGACATCACAATAGAGACAATGGTATGACATCACGATGCCATCTAAAACAGATATTCAGTTTTTTCATGTTTCTCTAGAAATTGGTGTCTTAAAATAAATCCTACGATGTGTTATTTCGTGAAATTAATTTCACCTTCTAATAAATCAAATTGGAACTTTAAAAACAAAATTTAAATAATTTCATGAGCATCTTTCCAGTCGCTCAGGATAATTTAATTATTCAACTACATAAGTAAAAATACCTAGATTTGGATTAATATTTTTCTACTTGTCAGAAATTTAATTGTTACACCAGACTGGTTATTACTATCTGAATGTTCAATTGGTAAAAGACCCTGTTAATCGTACAATGATCCAGTATCATCATCCATACCAATTTTCAATCAGTGTGTGTTACAACACTTTCACACACTCCAATACGAGTGATTTATTTTCATTATTTTAGATTTGACCAAAAAGCAAAACTCGCATTAGCTTCATAAATGATGTCTTTGCATTTTGCAATAGCCATGATGGTACTTAATCAAGTGCTGCTTTTTTTTAAATTTTGATGAAGGGTAACACGATTACGGCCTCTGTGATTGGTCAATTTTTACTCCGTACAAGCAACAGTGTTTGGGGTTACAAAGAGGCTATGGCTGAAACAAACACACAAAACACTGAGAAGAGCAGATAATGAAAATCATACAGTGAAGAAAAAAAAATTAATATTATAGATAAGGAATGACGCCATTATAAGATAAAAATATAAACTACTGTGTCCAGAAGAACCCATTAATCAGTTATCAAATCTGAGGTTATTAGAAAAACAAGATATTTAATTGTAAAAAAAAAAAATCTGATTTAAAACGGGCAGTACTGTATTCACCATGATTAGTACCGAGGGTGCTTTAAAAACAATTAGCATGGGGATGGGGTCTATGATGAAAAAAAAAATGTAAGTTATGCCACAGACGTTGATCAGAAGACATTTACTAGGTCTGTTTAAGTACCAAGCTTGTGATGTTTCCCAAACTGCCCTTTAAATTTAAAATCCCTTGCTGGGAAACCTGTCAAAAATAAATGCATAACTTAAAATAAAAAATAAATTCCTCACACTCAACCGAGTTCTCATAATGCAGCATATGTAGGAAGGACAGACTAATAATGTTGTCATAAAGGGGGCTTTGATAAAAAGTAAAACTGCTGATTTCAAGTCTTCAGGGTTAAATGTTATAATGATCATCCAATTATTTTTTTTAAATTTATTACATCAATGAATTTTCCCAAAAAAATCCTCCCAGTTTCCATGTTCTGGGGGAGGAGAGATAGTCTACCACTTTAGCAATCCAGAGCCATAATTGTGGGTGTGGATCAGGCTGGGAGGCATTTATATATCTAATTTCAATGGGTACTAAAAATTGATACCGAGCACTAGTAAATGGCAAATACAGTACTTCACAAATTGATTCATATGACTTTTTACATATTGACTTTATTAAACTTTCTCATACAAAAGTTGTTTAAATGTTTACAAATGTATCCACCAATTTAAAGCACTATATATATTTATATTTCTACCTTTCACCGTCCAACAAGATTACAGAGATAGCATAAAGGTACAAATTTACCACACACTACCATAACTGTTTTATATCATAATAGTTTTCTAGGAGACCATCTTCTTCATTAGAGCATAAAACTAAATCTTCCTTACATGCACACATGCATGTAGTTTTTCTAATTTGAAAAAAAAATCATAAGGAGTTGTAAAATTGAACATAAAACTATTTAAAATATATTCTTTAAATTTCAAAACTTAGATTCCGTTTGGCATAAGTGTTCAGTTTCAAAAGTCTTAGGATTTTAGAGTGACACTATATATAACTTGTGAAATTAAATTTGATATACCGGTATATAGGATCATATACACAATAAACAAAAACAAAACAAAAACATTAAAATAAAATCAAAACGACAGAAGCTGTTATATTATTATTAATAGCAAATTACATTAATGAAAGAAATGTGAAGCAGTCAGCTCTGAGCTATAAATATCTTTTCCGTCCAAAGCGTAAACTACGTTATTGCATCATCAATGTTTCAATCAGATACGATCTACGAAGGTGAAGGCAAGCATCATTTACTGGATGTAACAGACAAAGACAATCACAATGTAGCATCTCAGAAACAAACGAACAGTTTTAAATCGGAGGCATGTCACAATACTTTATGGTACAGGAGAAGTCCATGCTGCTCTTCCGACTTCACTTAAGGATATTTTATTTTTACAGATGAGGATATTCGAATGTCATTCCCTCAGAGATCTCTCTCCGTGTCTCCAGTAGGCCCAAATTTTACCTTAAGTATACTTGTCACTGTACTCTCGGCTCGCAGGATTAGACTAGCACTCGGCTGAGTTGTGGGCTGGGAATTCTTCGCCGGTTTGGCCGATTCATTCCGTCTAGAATATAATTACTAATTCAACATGATGTATTGGTAGTATTCTCAGGATGACTCGGATCAATTGTGGCCGATATAAAGCCACAAACACTGACAGAATGAAATGTTAGTGTCGTTTTCCCAAAATATATATACCACTGCAGCAAATTTTGGCCCCTTCTTATCACCCTATTCGGAGATATTTAGGAATGTGACAATTCAACATCCTGCATTCTTTTTGCCTAGATCTTTCTACATGTGAAAGGGGCATTTTCAGGTCTTCAGAGGAAGATTTTGTTTTAAATTTGTAACAGAAGTTCTCCCCTTTGGCTGCTAAACCTGGGGCCTTTACCGGGTTAAAACGCCTAAACATAACTTCAGATCCCCATCATCTAAGTACAGTCCCTGCCAAGCTAAAATCCATTATCAAAGTGTATTATTCTTTTAAATGTACCTTTGAAGATTGTTTTTTCAACATTACAATTTATAATACATTATCCGATAGATAGATCTTGTTACTTGCTTGAAAACGGGTTCATTAGAAAATGTTTCAGATTGTTATATTTACCTGCGAGTGAGTAGACGCTCTATTTGTGGTTGGGACAGTAGGTCGTATTTCATACACTCGTGGATCAGTTGTAACAAAGCCTCACAGCTGTGAAAACAAACACAATAAAATTAAAGTTGGAATAAGTATGAAAAAGAGACATAGACAAGAGATCCCAGAAAGATCCTGGCACCATCATTGTACCCTCCGCATTAGTTCTGTAAAAGGTGGCACTATCTGTACCACTATTCCTCGTCCTACTACAAACCGGTGCCGTTGACCCTCCCCGTTCAAGGTAGGAGAATCCTAGATAGGGAGTTAAAGAATTTGGGTTGGTTTTTCAAAAAAAGGGGGAATAGTGTAAAAGAGGTGCATTGACAAGGTTGCCTTACAAGCTTCAGCTGTTGGGAATTTCTCTTTAACTCAGCGGTAAAGCATCAGGCTGGAGAGCCAAGGGTTCGAGCCCCAGCGGCGGCACTAACTTTATCACTATTCCTCGTCCTACTTAAGTTGTGCGTCAGCTCAATCTTTTCTCTTATCTGCATGATCAAGTCATGTTAACAGTAAATGCACATTGAGGCATCTTTTGATCTAAACTTCAAACCGCTATGTATAAAGACAACTTTCAACATGAGTTTGTAGTTTCACATTTTACTAGTAATGTATTTAATGTGAAAGAAATAGAACCGATCATTGCAATATGAGAAAGATCTGTTAAGTACTTCCTGTGGCCATCTTGTTTTTATGATCACTCTCAAAACAAAACATGCACAGCTTATAATTACTAACCAAGGGGATCCTACACATCAAATTTAAGAAAGATCCCTCCAGTACTTTCTGAGAAATAGCAATAACAAACCTTCACTGTCAATATCCAAGATGGCCACATGTCAGCCATGTTGTTTAACCGATCAGTCTCAAAAGTAAATGTCCACAACAACAGACAAAGAGTATTATAATCTGCACATTAAATTTGAGGAAGATCCCTCCAGTACTTTCTAAGAAATAACGATAATAAACCTTCACTGTCAATATCAATTTTTTTTACAATTAAACAATCAGAGAACTGTGCACATGCTGACGGTTCAATGGGAGATAACTCACTATTTCAACAGCTTAATATGTACTAAATAGCTCCTGTATAAATCACAATACCTCTTCATATGTTATACATGTGTATTGTAGTAATTCTTGTGGTTGTTAGAGATCAAATAATCGTTATGTTACAAAGCTGCCAATAATGCAATAATGAAACTTCACGTCTGCATTTTTGGCTCTTTCCACAGACATCATGTATACAACACCCTTTCTATATTCATTTATATGCATTTTGAGATAATTGTCTTGTTACTTATCGTATAATGCTGACTTGTTTGCCTTTTTTATCTACTATATCTATAACTGACACTGTAGAAATACTATACTAAAGCGCCTTAAGAGTAATTTTACTAATTTTATAGGGCACTATATAAATGTTTTATATTATTATTATTATTATAAACATAGAGTACAAGAGGCACAGATCCTGTGTGTATAGTCATTTTTAGATTTGTACGTTTAATCATTTTTATCTAAATCCTAATTCCACTCTTGTAAAAACCTTGTTAAGCAATCCAAAAGTAGCTCCGATTTTAGTTTGCACTGACACGATCAATTCCATAACGATATTAAACAACTCTGTCCAAAAACTTTGAAACTAAACAAAATGAAATCTAATTTGTAAAGTCTGCTATTACCATTACATAAAGTAAAGGAAATTCCCGAGGGATCAAAGAAAAAATGTTTAGGTGGTCGGGTGGCGCAGTGGATACAATGCGCTCGCCTTTCACCAAGGCGAGCATGGTTTGATTCCCTAATCCAATATGAAAAGCTATTTGGTCACCAGCCGATCATGTGGGTTTTCTCCGGCTTCTCCACTTTCCTCCCACATTAAAACACCCCCACCCCCCCAAGTGCCAACATCCGGGCCAACAAGAGCGAATCATTTAAATGGTTATAACTTGTTTCATAATTGTTGTAAAATACATTAAGTTTATATAAAAACTCTTTTAACCCTTTCACCAATGTAGACCATAATGAACTCATCCAGGTCAATGCATGGTAGAGTCTACTAAAGTAACATAGGGTTGAAAGGGTTAATTTAAAATCTAAACAGCTCAACAGATCAGAGGTAGGAATTCTGTATCAATGTACTCACTTGAGTCTGACATCAGTGAGATCCAAAAGTGGGACAGAGTTGAGCAGGAGGTCAAATCCCTGTTCCAGTTCTTTACCGAAGTCCTGTCCGGGAGCCTGTTGGTTAAACTTCAGCAGCACTTGTGGCAGCTGTACAACGAAATGGAACAAGGCATCACAAGTGATACAAATCCCCTCGCATTCACATTCACACATTATGTATAATATAAATATGTATAAATTTCATGAAATTCCCTTGAGGAATGAAGTGAATTTTTTTTTTCCTAAAAATAGTAACAGTGACCTTGACCTTCAACGTAGAAATCCGAACTTGTTCAAGGCATTGTCATACCAAACACTTGTATGAAGTTTAATAAATTCTGTTGAGGAATGAAGTGGCTAGAGTGATGACAAAGTTTTTCTAAAAATTGTAACAGTGACCTTGACCTTCAACGTCGTAACCTGACACACGCAAACTTGTTCAAGGTATTGTCATATCAAACACTTGTCATCGAGTTTCATGAAATTCCGTTGGGAAATGAAGTTGATTGAGCTATGACGAATATTTAACATGCGTACATATATATGTAGACGGAATCCTATATCCCCTCAAACTTTTGTTGCAAGGGATAATTAAGGAAAGTTACACATGATTAACAAGGCATTGTAGACGATACAGGTACTGTATACCGGACAACTTCTTGCCTTGTAAAATATTTTCCCTTCACTGAAAAAACTCATGTTCGCCTAGTGTTAATTTTGTTCTTCACATATAATTACTGTATGTTGTGTGTACTAATAATTAATAACGATTAATCAACTTTTAATTACAATGTATTATGTTGTTTACTCATGTTTGTCGTAATGAATAAAAAAAAAAAGGCAAAAATTAAACTGCTGCAAAAGTTCCAAGTATACAGCAATACTATATTGTTATCCTGAAAAATATTTCATTAATCTGCAAGAGGTTTGATGTTGTACGCTACTGATATACTGTGAAACAAGAAATTTTCATTCCAGTTTAATATTTTGCCTATTTTCGCCCTCCATAATAAGGACAAATCTATCATTACAGTGAACTTTTGGCAACAACATAATGTACATAGTATTTATATGTTAAAGGCGATTTAACATAGGGCGAAAATGGATTTTACCGCCAAAGAACGAAAATTTCCCGGCATACAGTATGACATTACAAACAAGAGTCATATCATTGCAAATTGTTGCGTTACGACTCTTTAAATAGATCTTTCACGTTGGCAATGATTCAAGAATCGATATATCCTAAATACGTATTTATAACCTATATAATCTATCAATTTATAATCGCACGAGGGTTTTTTTTGTGAAAATTTACTCAACGTGAAAGCATGAATATTTACACGCCCCCAAACTTCCACTTTCACAGTTTTTATATAATGATTGGATAAATTACCTTTAAATAAGTAAATGCTGCCCACTTGAGTTCTTCCTGACTGTCTGCGGAATCCACTAGCCCCATAAAACAGGCACGGAACAGCTCGCAGTACAGGTAGGAGCGATTTAGTTTCTGTGTAAAAAAAGTAATATTTCATGTAACACCTGTTAATAAACCCTTACTTTTATTATAATATTTCATCAAAGCACAAAAACAATTTAAAACGTTTTCCTGTGAACATGAACTGATGAAATTTTGTTTTGTTTGAATTTAAATATAAGAGGATAATATTTCATGTAACACCTGTAAGTAAAACCTTACTTTTAACCCATTCACCCCTAAAGTCACATTTGAACATTACCAAATCAAAGACTCAGCAAGTCTAGTTTAAACATGTAGGGTTGAATGAGTTAATAGATTATTTTGTTCAAAGACAAAACCACAACTTTAAAAGCAATTTTCCATTACTACAGTAGAACATAAATTGATAAAAATTCATGAAAAAGCTATGCAGATATAATCAACAAATCAACAAAATTTCATATATTTCGTACAAAACTATTAAGCAAAAACAAAATTGTTTAGGTCATCTAATAAATAACAAATATCCTCAGTTTGTCAAAAACCTAAAAACAGTCCGACAGTATTATCTTGAAATTTCATACACATTTTGTGCTTATTTTCCAACTGAGACAAAAAACACCACAACTATCAAAATATGGAAGGACAGACAGGAATTCTACAGAAGTGGATGTATATCCTACCCCAGCTGGCAGCCATGTCGATTTTCAGACTTGGATCTAAATCAACTCTGATTGGGCAATTGATACATCAAGTTATGTGCAGAAAATTTCATGAAAATCAAAGCATTCCTTCAAGGGTAAGGCTACGGACACCTTGTGCAGACAACACAACAGACACTCTAGATCTGGTTGCCTGTAAACAAAATGAACAATCCCATTTTAAGGCATCCTAGATACTCCAGGGGTTACGCTCACTCACACACTCTGGACCCCTGGAATACGTCATGAGGAAACCGAAGGCTCTGAACTCACAACCTTGTTGATGAGACAAGAACATTAGTTTGATCCTTTGATGTGCATAAACAAATTCTCGCAATCGCATAACAGTAAAATTGACTGGCTTTTAAGTCGGGTGTCGTTTCTCTGTAATCTTAAAAGGACAGGTATCAGCCTAGCGATTTGTCAGTGTTTTTTTTACATGAGACCAATCAAATAAAGTTTTCTTAAATTTGCTTTGACATATTCCTAGGGTGCAGATAGCATAAGTGAGCGTTACCCCTGGAGTATGGAGGATGGTTTTAAGGAAACATTAGGAAATATTTACCAGAAGTTTTTCTGTGACACACAACTGCTCCACAAACGGCTGAACGTCACTGGTCGGGTTAAGGATGGCCTCCAGGGATACCAGTCCATTGATGGTGGGACAGATCGCGAGATGAGACACCTCCAGTACAGACTGGGTAGGTAGGGCCAAGTCCTGTACTCTAGTTAAAAAAAAAGAAGTCGTTAACAAAATACTCTCATTCATTCAACCCCAACATACTTGTAGGCACATACTGCAGACTGGACTCCGCAGGGAAACAGTGTCGAACCTCTGACAGAAATAACCGTATAAATAGAGGATATTTAATAGTTCCCCGAGGATTACGATATATATTTCACGAGTATGGCAGAATAACGATATTTTTCACCAGTACAAAGTACAAGTACAAACATCAGTATGTTCTGCCATACAAGTGATATATATTTATGTCATAAAACGGGAAAATCATTAAATTTTCTATAAACTACATTCTTAAAGTAAAATGACCCAAAAAAATGCTTCGGCAAAAAAGTGCAGAAATTAGTAGCATAATATTTGATGCCACTTTCTTATGACGTCACTCTTGACAACAAGGCTGTGTGCCATTGTGAATGGGCTACTATAGCTGACATCTTCTGCTCTTTTCTGGTAGGGTTTGCTTACAAAATGTTATCAATTGCATAAGTAAGCTAATAACTTTGTGTATGTACCAAGGATGTACAAAAACAAACACTTATTCCACCAGCGCGTCATCTGCAGGTGAACAGAAAATCTGCCGCAGTAAATTGAAAATACCATATTGATTGGTCAATATAAAATCGACACTGGACCTTATATATCACATGTGAAGATACAACATATAACTATTGTCTATCTAACAGTAGGCATTGGTGAACATACTAATTTTCTGCATCAAATGAACTGACCCATTTTACTGTGTCGTACGGCCATGTCATAAATATGGTATTACACACGTGTAATAAAACCTAAAGGTGCTGCGATTGGTCAAAACCGTGGGAACATATTCCTACGCCACTACAGGTACTATTTCTATACACTATACCTCATGATACATTTACTGTTATTTTGAATGAATTTGAAATGTTTCTTTTGTCATTATTATTTTCATTGTTTTTAAAAAATTAAAATCTGGAACTGCTTTGCACTGCGCGAAACGACAATAGGATGATCGGAATACTTTGGTTTTTACCTCTATAGAGTCAGCTGATAGCACATAATGTTGTTTGAAGGTTTTTTCTTCAAATTATGAATGTTATGTGATAAATAGAATCTTACATTCGTGTCCATGTCATATCTAATTTATCAAACAAGGTCGATAACTTGATTTGACATGAGCCTTTGTCCAAGTCATATTGAATTTATATTGAATTTATTAAATTTGTTCAAAATTTGTATATGACACTCTCCTAAAAACTTGTGTCAAATCAAGTTATTGAACTTGTTTAACAAATTCAATATGACATGGACACCAATGTAAGATCCTATATGTTTGTTCAGAGTACTAGATCAACAAGAGTACCGTGGGGCAGAACAGTATACACCCGTCGAATGTCATATAGTGTTATATACTTTCTTACATTGAAATAAGATCTGCATTATTCTAAGAGTGGTTAGCTGACATGCTATAAAAAATGTAGGAGAAAATCTCTGGACAAAAAATAAAATACTGAAATGAACAAAAGGCAATAACTTTTGTAAAAGTCGTCGAATCAAAATTCTTTTAAGGGAGACACAACTTCATATCATGATTATAATGTATACTAAGTTTCAAAGAGATCGGTCGAAAAATGTAAGAGGAGATTGACGGACAAACAAAAGTTTACGCCGGACGGACAGCCCCATACCATAATACTCCCATCAAATTTGACGGGCGTATAAAATCAGATTTTGAAATCTTCTACAAGCCCAACCTAATTTTTCAGTCAATATCGAAAATGTTCGGTAGCAGCCCTGACATGTTAGCTTTTAGCCAAGGCATCTGCCTAGAAGAAATTTACAGCCCTGGATTATACTGCATGTATAAATAATATCGAAGGGGCAGTTTTAACAAATTCTTCAGAAAATCACCAGTTTCTGAATTCATGTTCCCAGAATGTCTTTCCCCTTTTGCGAAAGTTTCCCCTATTAACTTGAATAATATCAATAAAACATATTCTTTGATTCTTTAACCATTATTTAGAATGATGGAATAGAAGTAATGTTAGATTTGATTAACCCTTCCACCCCTATGAAACTTAAGTAAACCTTACCATGCAATGATCTGGATGAGTCCATTATGGTCTACAGGGTGTAAGGGTTAAGAATAATGAGTTTTACAGGAAGAATACACATTTTTTTTCTAATTTTCCAGCCTGTATTATCTTCTCGGTTCACTTGAGATCAATTAGGCTTTACTGTATGTATATAGAACCAACAAATACTGTTTTAATATAATAGAGAACTTACTTGAGGAGGGATTTAAGCGCTGATGCCACCTTCAGGCGAGTCTGACTGGGAACAACATCCGACTGAAGCTGACTTAGTGTGCCCTGGACATTGACTTTGGTCTGCTCAAAGTCATGAAATTTGTCTGCAATTACATGAAATAAGTGTTCTGTTTAACCTGCAAGTCACAAGTTTTTGGAGTGGTTGGGTGGTGCAGGGAATTTGAATAACGCTTTCACCTTCCACCAAGGCGGCGCCAGGATTTGATTCCCCAATCGGACATAAAAAGGTATGACTGACGGGTATGGGATCACCTGCCAAACCAACTGGGTTTTCCCCGGTAACACTGGTTTCCTCCCACATCATATGTATAACACACATAGGGATTAATATAAGTAGAAATAACTTATTTACATTTATATTATATACCAATATTTTTCAATTTGAATCATTGAATTTTTTTAAATTCATCTTCTTTCCAGATTGGCTCACTGCTTTTTAGATTTGAATAGAAAATGACACATCATGTAAAAAAGGCAGAAAAAAACTTGGAAATATTAAAAAAATCTTTTAAATGGTCATATGGGATAGCTGTCCCAATTTCTCCCTAAAATCAACAAGTTTTCAAAGACAAGTTTTATATTAATTTCAAATCACAGCAACGTCATGTGGACAGCTTTCTAAAATGAAAAGATAATTCCGAATTCTCCAGATTTTTTGAACTGCAAAGGATCAGGGAACTCAACAAGAGGCCCAGAGGGCCTGTATCGCTCACCTGGATATCTAAGCAATCATGGCAAAATATTCTCCAAATAAGATCCAACGGAATATGCCAGACCTCAAGGCCAATCCTTGTAGCATATCTGTATTTGATTTTTTATGCCCAGCAATTTTATGTAAGGTTATGGGGTGGGGATCTCAACTGTTTCCAAGCTGTGACTCAGAAACTAGGTCCCTAGGGTTGTGGCCAGACCCCAGGATCAATTCTAATATCATGACTGCATTTGTCTCTTTTTGCTCAGCATTTGTATATTAAGTTTTGGGGTGGGGATCTCAACCGTTTCAAAGTTATGACCCAGGGGTTATGTCTGCAAGGGTGTGGCAGACCCTTGGGTCAATTCTAATATCATGACTGCATTCGTCTCTTTATGCCCAACAAATGTATATATAGTTTTGGGGTGGGGATCTTAACCGTTTCAAAGTTATGACCCAGGGGTTAAGTCTCCAAGGGTGGGGCCAGACCATAGGGCCATCCTGGAAGCAAATGTGCATTCCTCTCGTTATAATCAACAATTGTATATATGGTTATATGGTGGAGATCTCAAAAATTTCCAAGTAAAAAAAAAAATTGACCCCACCCCTTAACCCGGGGGGGTCAGCCCCACCATTTGTACAATTTTGAATCCCTGCCTCCCATGAATGCTTTTGATTAAATATGATTGATATCCAGTGCATAGTTCTACAGAAGAAGTCGTTTGTAGCAATATAGTCAAAATGCCCCCTTTTGGCCCCGCCCCTCAGCCCCCTGGGGGGTCAGCCCAACCATTTGTACAATTTTGAATCCACACCACCTAGGGATGCTTCCAGTTAAATATGGTTGATATCCATCTCTTAGTTCCAGAGAAGATGTCGCTTAAAGCAATATAGCCAAATTGCCCCCTTATTGCCCCGCCCCTCAGCCCCCTGGGGGGTCAGCCCCATCATTTGTACAATTTTGAATCCCCACCACCTAGGGATGCTTCCAGTCAAATTTAGTTAAATTCCAATAAGTGGTTAAGAAGAAGAAGTCGTTTAAAGAAATTGTTGACGGACGGACGACGGACGCCACGGTATGGCATAAGCTCACCTTGGTCCTTTGGACCCGGTGAGCTAAAAAGCTTGAATGCTATGCCAAACACCTTTGGGTTAACAGGGAGGTTACTATATCAAAGTCCCTAATTTTTGCAGATTCGCTTAAATGATTTGCAATATCAAGGTTTTGCAGTTTTCAGGTCTAGGGGCCATTGCATAAGTTTAGGATGAATTAATTTGCTTTTAATTTTATGGGTTTTCTTCTGTAGAAAATATCATTTATTCACATCCCCTCAATATAAGCATTATTTGTATCAAGTATCATTCAAATTGGTTCAGTACTTTGGGAGGAGTAGTGCAAACAGCGTTTCAGGGTTTCTGCGCTTCTTCTGGTAGTTGGAATGAGAGAAAAATACTCTAAAGCCTTGGGTTTTACCAAATTTTTATAACCCCTCAGGTGGAATTTCCCTATCCTACACCCCTCTGCATGAAAGAGTCTTCTAACATTGTCTGTGTAAGTACCTGTGTCTTCGGACATGGCCACATACAACAAAGCCTGCACTGTTGTGTTATCTCCGATCTTCTGAGCGGCGACACTGGCACTGTCAATGATAGCCAGGATTTCCAGGGGAGTGTGTCCGTCCTTGATCATCTGTAGCGACTGGTGTATACACAACATCAGCCAGTGGAGTGTGTTCTGTAGACACTTACACAGTGTTAGACTACTGTCCAGACTGCAGGTAAAACTGGGAAAAAGATGGGGAAGAATTTTCCTATAACACATACCTAATGAATCTTAATGTCATGATACAGTCAGGTTTCAAAATAGATTTGTACAAGGTTACGTATTTCAAATTGTGATAATACCTACAGTTTTATTATTAAACCTAGTAGTCAGAATTCCTTTTTAGCTGGGAAAATTGACTGTTTTGAATTTTATGCAATGATATTATCAACAAATCAAAACAAGATTGGATTCCGAATATTCATCAACATGTATAGGTTGTTGAATTTTCAGAAAGCAAATTTAGTAATTTTACAATGCTTCCATAGCAAAAATATGGATGGCATTATAAAAGTAGCAAAATTTACTAAAAGAGTAGCTTAATTTACTTTACAGTAGCTAAGTTTACTAGGCAATAGCTTAAAATTTTATAACTAAATTTACCATAGGGTAACTTAATTTACTGCACAAAAGCTTAACTTTACTATAGTCTTACTATAGTTAGGTTTATTATACAGTAGCTTAATTTACTGCACTATAATTTACTACACAGAAGCTTAAATTACTATACAGAAGCTTAACTTACAATAGTTAAATTTACCATGCAGTAGCTTATCCTTTTTATTTTTTCTCATAAACTAAATACTTTTGAGATGAATCCACACACAGATTTGTCCTGTAATTGTAGGCTATTTAAGGTAAAGGGTACAAATGCATTAGTTATAATCGCAACGATCGTGAACAAATGGAGTATTTTCTGGCTTAGAGTTACCTACCCTGGCAAGTTATTCACAGGCGTTCCTGCTCATTTACTTGAAATTTGCATGATATTCTATGAATCAAAAAGCTTAACACGGATGCTCCAGACCAAATTCAGTCAAAATCCCCTGAGCGGTTCAGGACTAGTAGTGTTTTAAAAGGAAAAGTTGACAGAAGACAGATGAACAGGCAGACACCAGAAGCTGCGCAATGGTTTAAGCTCTAGATCTTTTAACCTTCGGGAAGGTGAGCAAAAAAGAATCAAGTTACAATTGTTTTAAAAAAATGTATAATAAACTGAGAATGGGTTTAACCCTTTCACCCCTATGCAACTTTACTAAACCCTATTAAACATGCACTGATCTGGATGAGTCTATCATAGTCCATTGTGGTGAAAGGGTTAAAAGTATGTTATAGGTGAAAACAACATTACCTCAGATTGCAAGCGAATGCCTCTGCCAAATCAATCAGGCCCAGCGTACAGAAAGGTTTGGACAGGTCGTCAAAACTGGTGATGAGGTTAAATGCAGCACTAGGGGGCACAACCTGTGGACGTATATTATAATGTCACAGTGAATAGGCGAATGTACAGGCGATACTAAAGTAAACGCACACTTAACTCATTCACTCCTACATATTTAAACTGGACTTGCCCAGTCTTTGACTTGGTAAGGTTCAAATGTGACTTTAGGGGTAAATGGTGAACTTATATTAATCATCATGAAAAAAATAGTATCACCACAAAATGGAGAAGGGGTGCACTATTTGTTTTGTTTTTCTTTAATTTTACAGAAATATTTCAATTTTTTAATCGAGAAAACACACAGATCATCTTTTCCGTTGGATGAAAACTTTCTTAAAGCAAAAAGCTTTGTAATAATATGTCAAATTAGCTTTAACTGAAAGTCTAAGTGTTGTGTGAAAAAAAAAAATCTCATAAATAATCATAATAATCCTAACACAGAGGTCTTAAATTTAAAGTCTGACATTTCAGAATATTAATTACTAATACAGTACAGTATTCAATAACCATAAAGTGACATTATCAAGTTACAGTCTAATTTTTTTATTCAGACTTGTCTTAATGATCATCAAAATTTCCCAAAATGTTTTTATGTCAATCATTTTTTTCCTAATTTCATTCCAGGGTCTGTTCCCCGAAACCCTGATAAAACCTCTGTTCTGTGGAACTAAAGGACACTAAAACACTTACCTGAGATAGAACAGTATACTTCAGGAATGATAAAATGAGAGTGTTTGGATTAGGTCCAACCAATGCCTGATGAACCAAAATTTCTGAAAATAATAGACCTGTATTTAAATAAAAAACATATAATACAAGCAAGCAAATTCTACAAAATTCCACTGTTTATGAATTAGAACGGTAATACAAAGTAAAGTTTGTCCGGTGTGATGCTTCTTTTAACTTCTGATCCAATTTGTAGGAAGCTTGAGACATTTTCTTTTTTCTTCTTGGGAAGGGGGGGGGGGGGTTTTTGGAAATTTTTTTTTTTTTTTTTGGGGAGGGGGGGGGGGGGATTTTGGTAAATTCTTTATTGATTACATCAAGTTTCATACAAGTTGGTTCAGAACTTCAAGCTAATAGTGCAAGTTAAAAAGCTTTCAATTGAGATTTGAATTTTGTTTTCTTGCTTCTTGTTTTGAGATCATCCCCAGTGACAATCTCTTCCGGCTGTATACTAAGGAAGCGAAGACATTTTAGAATGTACCCGGTTTGACAGGTAATGCACTTTTTATACCCAATAACAACCATACTCGTTACCAATTGCAAGCAACGAAAACGATAGTCAGAAGAGATGGGGAAGATATCAAAACCAAAAAAATTATTAAAACTTTCTGAAATGAGACCAATCAAATAGCTAACCTCAAGCCTTTCGTTTTGTTAATTCATTACATATTCCATATTCCAGGGGTGCAGAGAAGATATTAATATCAAAAGCGGATTGTTTGGCTGTGACACATAAACTTCACCACAATTGTACATGTGTGGCCATGGTTCACCAAGAATGTGCGCATAATACAAGTAGGGATGTTGATAAGATCAGCTGACAATTTGTCAATTGATACTCTAGATCTGTCGTATGTGACCTGCTACTTTTTTTGCCATCAAAATATTTTAATCTACGCAGTTTTGAAAGGTACCTATAAATTGCTTCCTGCATTTCTGTAATTCACCCTTTCAAGGGCAAGGAAATTAACAGCATTATTGCAATCACTAATTTATTGCAAATAACTGTTTAGCAATACATATTGCAAAATGATTGTCCAAATTGACATTTAGACGTCTAGACAGTTTTGAAAGAATTTTACAGAATAATGCTAAAACTTAATCCAGATCAAATTCTTTTCAGTTTATCATTGAAATTTGCTTAGCTTGATAATCAATTCCAATTTTTTTCTCTGCATGATTTTTTTTTTAAATGCACTGAATTATAGGAATCCAATATAAATATTGTAAAAATATATTACAATATTTCCTTAAATATTGTAAGAATTCACTCCTCCTTGAAACAACACTTCAAATGTGCTTGACAACATGCACGGTTAGTTTAATTTACACCCTAGGGCTAAGAGTTATAAGTCAATCACAACTAGAACTTGAGACAAATCCGTGAAGGATAGGAGAAAACACAGTTAAGGTATACCTGGGAGATCCTTAGGGTCCCCTCCCGTACTGGCTAGGACCTTTTTCAGCTGCACACCCCATTGTATGTCCGTCCACCGTTCCCTCCAGGCTCGCATCAACAAGGCCTTCACCTTCCCTGCGAATGTACTAGGCTGACGTCCCGTCTTGGTATCCATGCTAGTGATATATCTAGACTTCGCTACAATCCATTTCTGTTACATGATGGACACTCCTAATAACAAAAATAAAACATGACATGATGACTAATTACGCAATTACCATACATGCCATGACTTTCTATTGCAAAATAGTGAGATCAGTAAAAAAACATTAGTGAGATTTGTTCTCTGAATTATTGAGAAAATCTTGAGACATTTAAAACAATTTATACTGCATGTTACTTTTCAATTATAGCCTTTGGCTGAGGTCGATACCTGGATTTATCGACCCGAGAAAAGATTTTAGACGCATCGACCGAAGTTAAAGGCTACAATTGTTTTATCATTTTCAAGACAGTGATGTAAGCAATCTGAAAAAAAACACATCAAAAAAGCTTCGGAAGTGGGACGGTGAGTTGTTTGGTGACACGTCATAATTCTATTTTTAGAAACACCCAGTCTTTCAACAATGATCATGCGCTCCAAGTCAATATCGGTTTTTATCGGTGGACACGTGATGCACTCCTGGCCAATCACTTGTTGGGAATAATATGAAAAAATAATAATATTCAATTATAGCCTTCGGCTGAGGTCGATAAATCCAGGTATCGACTGAAGTCAAAGGCTACAATTGTTTTATTATTTTCAAAAAAGTAATGTTAGCAATCTGAAAAAAACCCAGCAAAAAGCCACGGAAGCAGGACGTTACATTCGTTTGGAGACACGTCATAATTCTATTTTTAGAAACACCCAGTCCTTCAACAAAAATCAGTTTTATCGGTGGGCACATGATTCACTTTTGGCCAATCACTTGTCGGGAATAATATGAAATAATAATAAATTGTATTATCTCATTTGTGTTGGTCTGAAGCTTCTGTCGGAACAAATATATCAACATATAAAAGTAAATATATCACAATACTTTCATCAAAGACAAATAAAAAGAAAAACTAAAAGAAGTAAAAATTCTTTGATGAAAGTATTGTGATATATTTACTTTTATATGTTGATAACTACAAATGTATATCCGGAACTTATACATGTGAAAACCTGTCTAAAATCCTTTAAATATCAATAAATCTCCAATTTTGTTCCAACAGAAGCTTCAGACCAACACAAATGAGATAATACTATTTATTATTTTTTCATATTATTCCCGACAAGTGATTGGCCAGAAGTCAATCATGTGCCCACCGATAAAACTGGTTTTTGTTGAAGGACTGGGTGTTTCTAAAAATAGAATTATGACGTGTCTCCAAACGAACGTATTGCCTGCTTCCGTAGCTTTTTGCTGTGGTTTTTTTTCAGATTGCTATCATTACTTTTTTGAAAATAATAAAACAATTGTAGCCTTTGACTTCGGTCGATACCTGGAGATATCGACCTCAGCCAAAGGCTATAATTGAATATTATTATTAGCTCACTGGGTCCGAAGGACCAAGGTGAGCTTATGCCATACCGTGGCGTCCGTCCGTCAACAATTTCTTTAAATGACTTCTTCTTCTTAACCACTGATTGGAATTTAACTAAATTTGACTGGAAGCATCCCTAGGTGGTGGGGATTCAAAATTGTACAGATGGTGGGGCTGACCCCCCAGGGGGCTGAGGGGCGGGGCAAAAAGGGGGCAATTTGGCTATATTGCTTTAAGCGACTTCTTCTCTGGAACTAAGAGATGGATATCAACCATATTTGACTGGAAGCATGCCTAGGTGGTGGAGATTCAAAAGTGCTTCGTAATCAAGATCGATTTTTTAACAAAGTACACATTTTTTTTAAATGATACTTTACCAAAACATGTTAAATGAGTATACCAATGGAAAAATCGAAATATTTTGTGGATTAAACACTCACATTTTGCTATGGCGTGCAAAATCTCCTATGGCGCAAATTAGTGTGACCGCTATAACTTGCGTATCATACGCAAACTCGCCTATTATATGTCAATAGGGGTATGGATTTGTTACTAAAAATAGCCAAAATCACTTTAATCTTAACTTTTTCAAATTGTTTGTCCAAGTCGCATTTATCCTTTCCTGAAACATAATACAAATGCAAAAATAAACTTTATTTGCATGTGAGAAAGTACCAAAAATAGATGCAATACTTCCGGTAAAGTTACATCAAGTTTCTATTAAGTAGCCAACGCTTTCAGTAAACATCTTTTAGCAAAATATTATTTACCATGTCGTAAACTAATGCGATTTTCAATAATATCTTGCAAAAGTAAATGTTAAAGCGATTTGGGTTATTTTCAGTAACAAATCCATACTCCAACTTGCGTATAATAGGCGAGTTTGCGTATATACGCAAGTTGGTGATTTTCCCCAACCTGATTATAACCGTGAACTGGGCAACATAACACAGACGATAGAACATTTTGCATACAATGGTTACAGTACGAAAACAGTTAACTAATTTTTAGCTGAAACCTATCGTTGAGGTGGTTTTGGTCTTTTTTGACGCTTTGGGGTAAATCATCTTGCCGGAATATTCAATCCGTCAAAACTGGTGACCTTATACAAGAACAAAGACTATCCCCAAGTGTTGTACGAGTCTGTTATACATTTCCTAATTTCAAACAGCTTAAATCAGGGTTTTTTTACTTACTTTTGGATCCTTGGTTATCAAGAACTGTTTAATGGAAACATGCTGCGATTTTTTCACCATTAATTCATCCTTCAGCCGTCTCAGATGAATTCCCGCTTTGATCTTGTTCAACAACCGGAAGTGCTGCAAGGGAAACTAATATAAAACTAATAAAACCAAATTACGGACACTTTTCCCCATTTGAGGCCATTTTCGCTAGAATAATATACACGCATTAGCTTACTTGTTTAGAAACTTGACACAGAAACTAAAAATTGTTCACTTTGTTATATGTTTAACTTTTGCGTGTTTTTGGATGAGAGCCGACAAAGGGAAAACAACCGAGAACATTATATAATGCAATGAATGATTTGGCAAATATTGTTATGGTCCTATAACACTCATTACTATTGATGACAAGTTTATTAAAGCCCGGTAGGTAAGCGGTTTATGATGAGAGTACACTCCGGGTTTTTTTGTGTAAACTTCAATAACATAAAAAATATATTCAAGTTAATCCTTATAATTTAATCTACTAAAATTGTTCACTTTGTTATATGTTTAACTTTTTCGTGTTTTTGGATGAGAGCCGACAAAGGGAAAACAACCGAGAACATTATATAATGCAATGAATGATTTGGCAAATGTTGTTATGGTCCTATAACACTCATAACTATTGATGACAAGCTTATTAAAGTCCGGTAGGTAATTAGCGGTTTATGATGAGAGTACACTCCGGGTTTTTTTTTGTGTAAACCTCCATTACATAAAAATATATTCAAGTTAATCCTTATAATTTCATCTACTATACAAAATCCCTGTGGAAATCCACTTTTATTGATGGACCCTTTTCTCTTAGAAATTATTTTACGCCGCTGTATCAGCCAATCAAAAGTGACGTTATAAATCGCGACGTCACTTTCTTTACGTTATGGGCTGATAACATTAATTGTAACCAATGACAATGCTTGTCACAAGCAAGATTAAATTATAGGAACATAACAGTATTTACATTTCTATGGGGTACTTTTGTTTAATTTAGTTATTTCGAACAATTCTTTGAACAGCAAATCAAGTGTTGACAACAATTGATGACGTCACAACAGAGATTGATGACGGTACAATAACAAATGGTGTTATAGTCTCATGACAACATTTGCCTTCGCAATGCATTACAAGGGAAGGATGCAGAGCAAATGTAAATATCACTTATTGTGCTATCAATTTCAAAATTTATGATAAATCGCCCATGGCAACAATCGTGTTGATTTGAGGCTGATACGGTTCGGAACAGCTAATTAATGAGAAATTCAGCTCCGCATGACATTTCGTTGGGTTGCAAAAGATGTTGACATGCTATAGCTATAATTAATTCCAGTGACCTATCAGCCTTTATGTCTTATAATTGACTACGATAACGTCGCTTTATATCAGCTTTATAGCTACTCTATATAATGCACAAATTCAATATATTCATATTCATCTGAATTACATATATCTGAATTCCGATTTTTTAATTGTGTTCTTTGGACTTTCAGGGGAATTGTTGAACCAGTGACGTTGAAAATTAACCAATCATAATCTCTAGGAACTGCCTCATCTCATCCGACTTCTTCACAGCAAGCCAGGTTACACGTGCAAAATCTTACACTTAGTTCATAGTCATATATGTTGTACATGGAGTTTTTCATATGCATAATGGCTAAACAGGAACGCTTTATTTTGATTTTTTGTTCATTTTGTTTTCTTTTGGCGGTATTTGGGCATGGTTGTATGACACTTATAATTGTCCCGTTGAAATCGGGGTTTTCGGAAGTTGTCCAACGGAGGGGTCACAGTATAGTCTCGTCATACGAACATGCAGTCAGAATCACAACCGGTACTGTATGACTGAGGGTCACACAAGTAACTAATTTACTTTTAACTGTGCAGAAGTATTCCTGTACATGTATACGTACACTTTCATTATCTATCAAGTTATAAAATCTATGTGATTGTATATATGTATATATTTGAAGAATAAAGAAAAAAGAAAAAGAAATGCATTTGTTTGTATGTAACACTGGATACCTTTTTATCACACAATGTACTGTGTTATCCAGTGAATATACCCATGTCATATTTGTTGTGTATTAACACATGCAATATGACTTTTTCAGCCCTGTGATGTCACACTTAGGACAAGTACATGACGTCAAATAATTACGCACTGGCGTCAAAATGGCGGCCTTTTACATTTTAAAGTTACACGAATAAATGCCACAACTCCTGATTATGTGATAAAAAAGATCTTACTCTCGTTTTCATTTCATATGAAATTTATGAAACTCGTCATGAATTTTTCATTTTAGCTCGCCAGAAGCTCTTTAATTGAAAAAAATAGACTCGTTTTCTTAAATATTATATGAAATCGAAACTAATGTATTGTCCTATATATATTGGCCTTATAATTTTACTGTTTGAAAGTACCAAAAAGTCGGTACGCATACGTCAAAGATTGCCGTACGTAATATGTTTGCTTTTATCTTATCAGTTAATGTTGGAGCTAGATATACAAATGACCTGTGTGTTCCCTGTAAGGAACCAGTGACGGCAGTATTATCGGACTGACCAAGACTCCACGACAGGAAATCGTTGTCGAACATTACCTTGAATTGTGTGGGGTTGTTTTTCCAAAACGAGACATGAAGTTAAGTATAACGTTGATTGCGTTATGTCTTGTCCCAATGGTATGGGGACAGATACTGAACCAGGGTGGCGATACGCTACAAGTCCATAGCAAAGCAATACTGGACTTACAGTTAAGGTTATCTACTGTAGAACATCTGCGCAATGAAGACGCACTGCGCATCGCTGATCTTTCGAAACAGCAACAAATTGACAAACGACGTATTGCCGACCTTGAGAAACAACATCAAATTGACGACAACCGTATTTCTGACTTTGTCAACAAAAGAGATGAGGACAATCGAACTATAGCTGACCTTGAGAAAAAGCGACAAGATGACCATCAACGTATTGCTGACCTTGAGAAACAGCAACGTGTTTTTCAACGCCGTATTGCCTACCTGGAAAAGAACCCCAGAGTTGGTGATCAACGTCGTTTAACCTACCCTCAGAAACAGGAACCTCGTAGAAACTTGGCCCCCAGTCAAAAAATTGCCTTTAACTCGTTTACCAACAGAACAACCCGCATGGTCGATGGAAGACGCATGGCTAGCGTTAGGAAAACGAGAAGTTTTGGACTCAATCCCAGAGATTCTGCGTTACCAAGTCCAACGTTGGAAACAAGCAACCAAGGCATTAAAAAACGTGTTTCCTCAGACAACGGACGTTTGGTCGCTTTTTATGCTGTCCTAACGCACAGTTACACGGAGGTGGCTAAACTTATGGAAATACATTTCGACCAAGTGGTCACCAATCTTGGTGGTTCTTACAGTGGAAACACGGGTACTTTCACGTGTACACATGCGGGCGTGTATGTGTTCTCGTGGACAGTACACGTGAATCCTCGGTATATGTACACGGAACTAGTCAAAAACGGTAACGTGATTGGGAATGCGTTCTCTGGAGATTCCCAGTTCAGCGGAATCGGAGGAGGATCCGTGGTTGTGCAGCTGGACCAAGGAGACGAAGTTTGGGTCCGACTAGGTGAACATACATCTGGAACTCAAATTTTCGTCCATACGCGTACGACAATGTTTTCCGGATTTCTTCTCCAATAGCAATGATTTCTGGATTTACTTACCAGTAGCCACATACAGCACGTATCTCAGATGTTAACCTATCACATGTGAGTGTAGAGAAGACGAAATATACCAATTACTTTGTTTTCATGTTTTGTGTGATTTATAAAAACGAGGACAAGGTAGCCAACCTTTGTGTTGTTCTTAATTTAGTATGCGACAAGATAAACTTGTTTGTACTTTATATTTGTATTTAGATATGAAACGCTATTTTATCATAGTGATATTTCTCTGTCTCCTTTTGTCTCTATCACTCTGTCTATCAGTCTCTTTATATCTCTACTCGTTGTACCCATCATGTCATGTAAAAACGGTGTCTGCAAATGATTGGACCGTTTAAGAGTGCCATTATCTGTCATTTAAATGTCATTACCCTGAACCGATAGCATGTCATCCCATCTGGTCACATTATACTGACAGAGAGATAAAAAAATATATATATATATATAAAACGAACAGGAGATAAAGAAAAGAAATAAAGGGGTTCAAAAGTGCTGCATGATGGACAACAGCTCGTTTTGGTTTTGCAATAAAAAACATGATTTATCGCGTTATGATAATGCCCGATTACAGATTAGCTACATACAAACCCCGAAACCTGTCAAGTTTACCGTTACGTTGCCGCGCGGTTATTTTGATTTTCAGTAAAAACATCAGACAAGTCTACTCGTATCAGCCGCTAGGAGTCGTGTAAAGAGCTTTTGATTTTGTCAAACAAAAACAAACAAATGGCCCAGATGGCCTGTATCGCTCGCCTGGATATTTGAGCAACAATTGGAAAATGTTCTCAATAAAAGTAATTTTGCAAATATTTCCATACATTGAGTCTCTTTTGCCTTAAGAATGTCACAGACATAATGAAACTTTATACAACTCTATTCCAACATGCTACTGGTCAAATCAAATCACCCAGGGCCTCCAGGGCCTCCGGGGCCTCTGGGGTCTCCTGGGCCCATATTCATGAAACCGTTCTCATGCTCAAACTCAGATACTGTGTCCAAGTCCAATTTCTTTTGCCAGTGATAAATTGAAAGAAATCATATTTAGTCAATGATATGCAAGCAATTTGGAAAGACTTTAAGACGATAACTGTTTCCAATGTTTACACTTGACTTTTTTAACATGTTAAATGATTTAAGGGAGTTACCAAAAGAAAGTTGGCTTGAGCACAGAAATCATTCTTAAGCATGAGAACGGTTTCATGAATACGGGCCCTGGTAACACAGAAAAAGTTGTTTAAAGGTTTTTACATATTTGACCCCTTTGAACTTGGAAGTAGGTCATGGTAGTTTGAGGAAACTTTATATAACACTCCGTACCAGGTACCTACTGGCCAACTATCATATCCCTGTGCCTCCTGGTAGTCAGAAAAAAGTTATTTAAAGGGTTTGTTATAATTATATTTGATGCATGTGACCTTTAAAGTAGGTCTAGGCCATTTATTTTTGAAAATCTTATAGCACACCGTCTCAGATATCTACTGGCCAAGTATTATCACTCTAGGACTCCCAGTTATTCAGAGGAAGGTTTTAAAAAGTATTTACATATTCGATTTCTGTGACCTTAAAACTCCGTACCAGGTACCTACTGGCCAACTATCATATCCCTGTGCCTCCTGGTAGTCAGAAAAAAGTTATTTAAAGGGTTTGTTATAATTATATTTGATGCATGTGACCTTTAAAGTAGGTCTAGGCCATTTATTTTTGAAAATTTTATAGCACACCGTCTCAGATATCTACTGGCCAAGTATTATCACTCTAGGACTCCCAGTTATTCAGAGGAAGGTTTTAAAAAGTATTTACATATTCGATTTCTGTGACCTTAACACTCCGTACCAGGTACCTACTGGCCAACTATCATATCCCTGTGCCTCCTGGTAGTCAGAAAAAAGTTATTTAAAGGGTTTGTTATAATTATATTTGATGCATGTGACCTTTAAAGTAGGTCTAGGCCATTTATTTTTGAAAATTTTATAGCACACCGTCTCAGATATCTACTGGCCAAGTATTATCACTCTAGGACTCCCAGTTATTCAGAGGAAGGTTTTAAAAAGTATTTACATATTCGATTTCTGTGACCTTAAAAGTAGGAAAAGGTCATTAATTTAAAGAATATTTAAAGCACTCCATGCCAGGTACCTACTGGGCAATTATCATCGCCCTGGGCCTCCTTGTTAATTAGAAAAAAATGTTCATTTTGTCTATATTTTTGATGCCTGTGACCTTTAAAGTAGGTCAAGGTAATTTATTTTATAAAATCTTAAAGCACCCCGTCTAAGATATCTACTGGTCAAGTATGTATCATCACTCTGGGCCTCCTAATTATTCAGAAGAAGGTATTAAAAAGTGTTTACATATTTGACGCGTGTGACGTTGAAAGTAGGCCAAGGTCATTTATTTGAGGAAACTTTATAGCACTTCTCCCGCGGTACCTACTGGCCAAATATCATTGCTCTAGGTCTTTTAGTTATTCAGTAGAAGTTGTATAAAGGTTTTTAAAACATTTGACTCTTGTAATCTTGAAAGTAGGCCAAGATCATATATTTGAGGAAATTTCATATCGCTTCATGCCAGGTACTTACTGTCCAGATATCATCACTCTTGGCCTCTTAGTTATTCAGAAGAAGTTTTTGAAGGTGTACCTACTGTCCAGATATCATCACTCTTGGCCTCTTAGTTATTCAGAAGAAGTTTTTGAAGGTGTTTGACTATTCCATCCCTGTTATATGTGTGGATCTTGCTTTCTATTGTAACCAGCTGTCAGGGGGCGAACATCAATCGAAAACCATTCGTGAATTAGCGTGCAGTTGTTCTTGCTACCATTGGGTTATAACAAATTGTTTGTCTAGAAACTGTACAATGGAAATGGAAATATATGATTGATTTGAAGTGAAAAGTGTACCATTTACTACAAGTTGTAATGACAGAAAATTTGCGAAGAATTTTTAACATATCCTTTAGATGTTTCCGTAGATAACGACTGGATTTAACTGCGAGAGGCTTACTAAACTCACATCTAGGGTTATATATCAAAATAGTCATGACGTTGTATACTACAATGTTTGGCCCGGTATTTGCAATTCTCTCTTCTGATTGAAGTTGCTCGGCGTTGAAATTATGGCGTAATGCTATGTTTCGTGCTAAATTCTTTTGTTTTTTTAGAAATGAATTTATATTCGTTAACTTTGAACTAAAACATGTTTGACTATTTTCTCGTTGGGATTGATGTACACAAGTGAGTGCACACAGTTTCTTCGATATAAGAATATATCGTTTACTCTAAAGTTATCACAGTTACTTCTTAAGTAGTAAACTAATTGAATATGAATTAATAAAAGAAAGATTACATGGGATTTCTTAATACTGTGGATCCCATGCAAAAGTTATCTATTTATCATCTTTTTGCATCTTCTTATAAGGTAACATTGGAAAAAACAAATATAAGCAACTGTTCCGATGGTAATAATTTGAATTTCCTTTTTTCTTTTCTCTCCTTCCTACTCGTTTTGTTCGTTAATGTCTCCCTAGGTATTTCTGATTATCCCGGTATCAGTATAACGTGACTACAGTGGAGTGTAATGATACTCTTTATAGCGGCCCAATCATTTTCGAACACCATATCTTTATACGATATGATGTGACGGTAGTAACAGAACAGAAAAGACAGACACACAAACAACAAAAAGACAAAAAAATATCACTCTGATCAAATAAAGACATACCACTGTAGCAATCTAACTTTCCGTGTAAAAAAAATGAAACAAGTACGATCAGTAAATGGTATACGTTTTTATATGGATAGCGCAATGAGAGTCTGTTATGTTGTTATTTTCTTTATAAACAACACAGTTTGTATATTGCGTCTTATCTACACTCGCGTGTGCGTGAGATGCGTGTTTATGTGGCTACTGTTAAGTAAGTCCATAGATCACTGCTACTGGAGAAGAAATCCAGAGAACGTTGTTGTATGCCTATCGACGTAAATGTAACTTCCAGACACATGGAATTCTACCCGGACCCAAACTTCGTCTCCTTGGTCCAGCTGCACAACCACGGTTCCTCCTCCGATTCCGCTGTACGGAGAATCTCCAGAGAACGCACTTCCAACCATTACTCCGTTTTTTACTAGTTCCGTGTACATGTACCGTGGATCTACATGCACTGTCCACGAGAACACATACACGCCCGCGTGTGTGCACGTGAAAGTACCCGTATTTCCACTGTAGGAACCCCCAATATTAGTGATTACACGGTCGAAACGTATTTCAATAAGATTAGCGACTGGCTTGATACTGTGCGTTAGAACAGCATAAAATGCCACCATACCTTGATTGTCCGTGGAAACACGTTTTTTGATCCCTTGGTTAATTGTTTCCAACGTTGGACCTGCTAACTCAGAATTTCCGGGATACGTTCCAACACTTCTCGTTTTCCTAACGCTAGGCATGCGTCTTCCATCAGCCATATGTGTTGTACTGTTGGTTAACGAGTTAAAAGGAAATCTATGATGGGAGACCACGTGTCTACGATGTTGCTGATTTTGAGTGTTGGTTAAACGACGCTGATCACCATCTCTTGGGTTCTTCTCTAGGTCAGCAATCCGGTGTTCAAAAACACGTTGCTGTTTATCAAGGTCAGCAATGCGTTGCTGGTCATTCTGTCGCTTTTTCTCAAGGTCAGCAACGCGTTGCTGGTCATTTTGTCGCTTTTTCTCAAGGTCAGCAATACGTTGCTGATCGTCTTGTCGGTTTTTCTCAAGGTCAGCAATAGTTCGATTGTCCTCATCTCTTTTGTTTACAAGATCAGAAATACGGCTGTCATCAATTTGTTGTTGTTCCTCAAGGTCGGCGATACGTCTCTGGTCAATTAGCTGCCGTTTTGCAAGATCAGCGATACGTAGTTCGTCTTCATTGCGCAAATGTTCTACAGTAGATAACCTTAACTGTAAGTCCAGTATTGCTTTACTATGGACTTGTAGCGTATCGCCACCCTGGTTCAGTATCTGTCCCCATACTATCGGGACAAAACATAACGCAATCAACGTTATACTTAACTTCATGTCTCCTTTTGGGAAAATCAACAGACAAAACTCCAGACAATGTTCGGAAACGATATTCTGTCTTAACGTCTTGATCACTCCGATACTGATACCGTCACTGGTTCCTTACAGGGCACACACAGGTCTGTATAGCACCTACATTTACTGATAAGATAAAAGCAAACATATTCAATATTACATTCTTCGATTCATGTATACCAACTGTTGGGGACTTGTATAGGGTAAAATGGTTGGATATTTTAAATGTATACAACATGAATTGATCTTGTGCCCTACAATCAAACAATGACTCTTCTTATTTATTTGTTCTTCAAATATTAGTAACAAACAAAACAATAACCCAATATCGTGTCAGAATACTATGAAAAGTTTTTACTGATGTTAAGTGCTACTCATGTATTCCATAAAGCTATCATATGTTGATGTGTGGTTAGCATCAGACGTTATCATTATCTCATTCATTAAATATCTTGAATCTTCCCAGAAAATCAGTTGACGTAAAACGTTGATATAACATGTTTCCAAACTAATGAATCTTAATGCAAAAAGGAGCATGAATTTTCGGGGGAAATGTGGGTTTCAGGTATTCCGACCTACCCTTGATTTTACCTGTAAAATTAGAAAATTGTATCACCTACTTGTATCCAAGATTAACTTATAACTCAGGCACAGCTCAGAGTTACTCTTTAAAAGTCTTTTCTACCTGTTTTTGGAGCATGACCTATTCTTGTTCACTAAATGACCATTGCAATCTGTGTAAATACATTGCGAAATTGGCATAGCACAATATTGATGCATGCATATAAAATTTAAAAAAAATAGTTGCACATAACTGTTCATCGATACTATGATTATCAAATTATCTCAATAAACGGGTATGTCTTTGTCAGTAGGGAATGGCCCGACCACTCAGGTTACTCACAAATCGAATAAATAGCCATGTACAGTTATTAAAATAAAAATCAATGTATATAACTATCATTAACAAATATTGACTAACAAAATTAACAATAATGATTAACTCACTACCAGCACTTAACCATAAAGTAAGAGTGGAAGATAATGAAAAATAAGTCCAGGAAGGGAGTAAGAATGTGATTTATAACTGTTAGTGAGAAAGAGATTTGAATTAAGTATACGAGTTGAGGGTGGATAATTGATGAAATTAAAACATAATCACAAATCGCGAAACTAAAAAAGAAAAAAACCGGCAATAGTAGAAATATATACTATATGTATATACAAAACAAATGCAAAGAGTTTCTTAGTACCTCCCTAGCACTTTTGCCTCTTTAGAGGTTCATCAGGGGAACCTGATATATATATACATAAAAATGTACAATGATCGAATGGCTCGATGCTAAGCACCAAATATTCAGACATGAAAAATATAAATTGAATATGCTAATATGTATGCTAAATAAAAATTGCACGTGTACTCATTTACTATTTTTTCTAGTGAAGCTTCATGTATATATATGTAAATAAAATATTACAAGAGGCCCAGAGGGCCTTATCGCTCACCTGGATACCTAAGCAATCATGGCAAAATATTCTCCAAATGAGATCAAGGGAATATGCCAGACCCCAAGGCCAATCCTTGTAGCATATCTGTATTAGACTGTTCATGCCCAGCAATTCCATGTATAGTTATGGTGTGTACATTTGTACAATTTTGAATCCCTGCCTCCCATGAATGCTTCCGACCAAATATGATCAATATACATTGCATAGTTCTACAGAAGAAGTCGTTTATAGCAATATAGCCAAATTGCCCCCTTTTGGCCCCACCCTCAGCCCCCTTGGGGGTCAGCCCCACCATTTGTACAATTTTGAATTCCTGCCTCCCATGAATGCTTTTGATCAAATATGATTGATATCCAGTGCACAGTTCTACAGAAGAAGTCGTTTGTAGCAGTATAGCCAAATTGCCCCCTTTTGGCCCCGACCCTAAGCCCCCTGGGGGGTTAGCCACATTATTTGTACAATTTTGAATTTCCACCACCTAGGGATGCTTCCAGTCTAATATGGTTGATATCCATCTCTTAGTTTCAGAGAAGAAGTCGCTTAAAGCAGTATAGCCAAATTGCCCCCTTTTGGCCCCGCCCGTCTGCCCCCTGGGGGTCAGCCCCGACATTTGTATGATTTTGCATTCCCACTACCTAGGGATGCTTCCAGTCAAAATTAGTTGAATTCCAATTAGTGGTTAAGTAGAAGAAGTCGTTTAAAGAAATTTTTGACGGACGGACGGACGTATGGACGACGGACGACGGACGCAACGGGATGGCATAAGCTAACCTTGGTCCTTCGGACCAGGTGAGCTTATAAAATTCATAATATACTACAGTAATATTAAGAAATGTGTTATACTTTCTTCCAAATAACCATATGATAGGCAAATTGAGCCAATACTGAGGACTGAAAAAAATAGTTGCCCATGGACCTTTCCAAATTTTTTTCTGGCATTTTACCTAAAACACATCAGTGATATTTTGTATAATTGAATAAACTAGAGAAATAACCTCGGTTGTATTGGTTGATGTGGATATATCATTTCTGGGCTACTACAGTTTGCAATGACAATGACAATGACAATTGTTTTATTCTCATAAACAATACAGTGTAGAGAATACACGATTACTACATTACCGCATGGTGATGAATATTTACATTGAAAGTATCTTATTAGGAGTACATCATCTTTGAAAATCAAGGGTCCTCCCCTCCGATACACATACCTTCTCCTCACCGCTACATAGGTCATACATACTCCACGGATGTAGAACTGATATTTGTATCACGACACTGGAGAAACCAAAACGAGATGCAGTCCCCATTGCAGCATTTGGAATCTCTTTCTTTTCTTTCCTTTCCTTTCAACAATCTCCTTTCGGTGGTGTCGCCATAGGCAATGCTGGTTAGCTTGTTTCACTTTATCGTGATAGCACTGAATGGCATGCTGCTGTGTCTAGATTAAGATATTTTATTATACCTCTACTTATTTTACACTATACAAAAGTAACCACATAAACAAGCTATTTCCCCTCTAACTGCATGCCAGGGAAATAGTTCGTCTGGAGGGGTGCGATAGTTTTAAAACTATTTCCCTCGGAAAATGCCGGAAATTGAGTTACGTCGTGGGCGGGGTCTGACCGAATATTGACCAATCAACGCAATCGAATTACGTCGGCTATTTCCGGCCAGCGGAGCCGGTACTTTCTGGACCGAGCTTCACCTCGCATTGTTGTTGACAGACGACGACAGAAATGGCGACCCCCAGGTTTTCTGTGTTGGACAAGAGCGAGTTGTCGGACATATTGGAGGCAAAAGACAGTTGGAACACACAAAAAATAGTACAGGCATACGTTACTTTGCTCTCTAGCTACTTCACTGAAAAGGGTTTGGATATCGCGGACATGGAACATTTGTTGTCTAATAATATTTAGAATATTGTAAGGGAGTGTTTGTATCGGTATAATAAAACAGTTGAAGTATGGGTATTTCGGGATATAGCAAGTTTATGATCCCCCCGAGGCCAGGACTATTTCCCGATGCGAAGCCGGGGGAAATAGTCCTGGACGAGATGGTGGCACTTTAAACTGCCCCAAACATTTGTGTCTTTATATGACATGATAAGAACCCAGACTGAAAGACAGAAATATATCCATGATAAAAAACACTTATTACTATAACAACAAAACTTCCATATTTAAAACGTACGATCAGGTTTTTGGCTGTCATACGAATAACACTATGGAGTCAGTTTGCTCCCGGCTTCATTTTTTTGTAACAAATCACACAAAACAAGAAAAACAGATTGATTTCTTTACTTATCTACACTCACATTGAAGGAATAGGTAAGAACCTGATATACGCGTTTGATGTGGCTACTGGTATGTAAGTTCAGAGACCATTGCTACTGGAGAAGAAATCCAGAGAACATAGTCGTACCTCTACTACCGATAATGTGAGTTCCAGAGTAATGTTCACTTACTCGCACCCAAACTTCGTCCCCTTGGTCCAACTGTACCACCAAGGATCCTCCACCGGTCCCACTGTACTGAGAATCTCCAGAAAACGCATTTCCAACCACAACACCGTTTTTGACTAGTTCCGTGTACATATAACGCAAGTGCGCGTGCACTGTCCACGAGAACACATACACGCCCGCATGTGTACATGTGAAGGTGCCTGTGTTTCCACTGTAAGAACCCCCAATGTTAGTGATCACATGGTCAAAATGTATTTCCATAAGATTAGTCAGAGAGGAGTAATCATGCGATAGGGCAGCACTAAATGCGACCATTCTTTCATTTTCTGATGAAACACGTTTTTTAATGCCTCGGTCACTTGTTTCCAACGTTGGACTTGGTAACTCAGAATTTCTGGGACTGGGTCCAAAACGTCTCAATTTCCTAAGGCTGGGCATGCGTCTTCCATCGACCATACGGGTTGTACTGTTGGTTAACGAGTTAAAGGGAAATTTCTGATGGGAGTCCAAGTTTTTACGAAGTTCCTGTTTCTGAGGGTAGGTTAGACGACGTTGATCACCATCTCTGGGGTTCTTCTCCAGGTCAGCAATACGGCGTTGAAAAACACGTTGCTGTTTCTCAAGGTCAGCAATTCGTTGCCGGTCATTTTGTCGCTTTTTCTCAAGGTCAGCAGAACGTTGCCGCTTTTTCTCAAAGTCAGCTATAGTTCGATTGTCCTCATCTCTTTTGTTTACAAGGTCAGAAATACGGCTGCGATCAAATTGTTGTTGTTTTTCAAGATCTGCAATACGTCTCTGGTCAAATTGCTGCCATTTTGCAAGATCAGCGATGCGTAGTGCGTCTTCATTGCGCAGATGTTCTACAGTAGATAACCGTAATTGTAAGTCCAGTATGGCTTTGCTATGGACTTGTAGAGTATCGCCACCTTGGTTCAGTATCTTTCCCAATACTACTGGGACAAAACATAACGACATCACCGTTATACTTAACTTCATGTCTCGTTTTAGAAAAATCAACAGACAACACTCCAGACAATGTTCGGAAACGATATTCTGTCTTAACGTCTTGATCACTCCGATACTGCTACCGACACGGGTTCCTTACAGGGCACACAGGTCTTTATAGCACCTACATTTACCGATAAGATAAAATCTAACATATTTTACAATCCTCGACGCATGTGTACCAACTGTTGGCGACTTGGTCGGGGTAAAATTATTCGATATTTTGAATTAATATAACAAAAAGATATGTAGTGTTATACAAAGAAATACTTTCAAAAAATAATTTGTTTATTTGTTTTTCAAACATGAATATATACAAATATATACTTTTCCTACACAAAATACTAAAAACATTGGAAGACATATATAACAATCACCTATTATTTAATAGGATGCTGTTAAAAGTTTTTTTTACTGATTTTCTAAATCTGTATTCCATAAAACGTGAGATTTTAATGTATGAATTTTAACACAATTTCAGATCTATAACGCTGTTTTTCATTATTTACGTCTAAGCAAACAAAACCAGTTTTCAAAGCTATTATGGCTGAAAGCATCTGACGATCAATCTAGATATAGTGTAACCTCACCAGATAACAGTTATCTCCCCCTTACCTCATGTCAATATGCTTACTTGCTTGGTTGATAATAACTTGTGGGTATGACAAGAATTTTTACCATTCAAATTTTCAGAGAATATTTTAATTTATCACAATACATTGTATTTCTGTAAATGCAGGATATTTTTTCTCCTTGTTTTCCTCCACATTTACCGGGGTAGGTAGAAAATACCAAAAGTGACCATCAGTTTAGCAAACTTTAATGATGAACTTTTTTTCTTTTCTTAAAATGTTGTTGAAGTAACCACATCAAGCGATCTTAATATGAACATGATAAATTCAATCTCATCATGATTTCTGTGGATCATAGACCAGAATATATAAGGGTAACTTTTTATACAGAACAAATACCAAGTGATAACTTTTAAAATGTAAAAATAATGATTATAATTTATACCCAATGTCAATGATTTCACTTGGTGATTTTATTTGTGCTGGACCATTTTTCAGAAAACAGTCAATATGTTCACCATCTACATCCCTCATATGTCCTCAATCAAGTCAGTAAAGGATATAAGCCTCAAACTGTCTATTATGTAAAATATTGGACAGTATTCGGCGCTACGCGCCTCAAACTGTCTAATATTTCACATAATAGACAGTTTGGGGCTTATATCTTACTTAAAACACGCAACCTCTTTCGTTGATATTGGACAGTTTCAATATCTGTTCAGTATGTGCAATCAACCTAGAAGGCTATTGATACGATAAAGGACAGTTTTGTCCTTTAGCATACTTTGCATGCTTTTGTACAAGTGCATGCATTACAGGCGTGTGAAATATGCCCGAGTAGAATTTAGTCTCATTTGAATAATGTCGTCCAACAGTCCCTGTGCAGTACATTTTGAACATCAGCATTCAGTATTGAAATGGATTAAATTCAAATAATGTGATTGATTTATTGAAGAAAGTGATTACAGTATATTTCTGGGGTTTTATCTGTAAGAGTATGAATTGAAAGAATTAAACCACATAACTAAAGTGAGAAATACAAGATTTCAACACCACGTCCAAAATATTTTCATTAAAGATATATCACAGCTTTATATCTGGGATTGTACACGAATATCTCAAGGGATGATACGAAAGAAATTTTGTGCACATAAATTGTGGGGAAAACGCAAGATTTCAACTGCGCTTAACTCCAAAGTGTTTTTGCCAAAATAACGAATTCAAAGGAAATTAACATTAATGCTGGAAATGTGTCTCTCAGTAAAGTGTTTNGGGGGGGGAAGGAATTGATATGGATCTCGTGAGGGTGACTAGATCAAGTGGGGTAGACTATATAATTTCTTACCTGGTGTACATGGTGTTTTCATATTTAAACTTGTTAGACACATTGTAGTACATAAAAAGTATGATACTTTTACAGAGTTTAAATTCAAATTAACTTCATTAAGAAACTTAGGATCGGATATATATGCTCCATTCTAGTCATGTCGTCAACCCAAGGTCACATAGGACAAATTATAAAACGTGGCACACTAAACTGATGATATGTTAAGAATACAGACAACTATAACTACCAACTAAATTAAACAATAAGATATCACAATATGATAAGACCAGCCCATGCTAACTTTTGGGAAGACGGTTTGGTAACTATCGTTGTTATACTGTAAACGTACAAATTTTTAGAAGTATTCCAATTTTAGTACTCTTTGTACTTTAAACTTTGTGTTAAATTATGATTGCTCTAATTGAAAGTTTGTGTAAATAGGTTTCTATTGCATGAACTGTAAGCCCCAATTTATTAATGTGCTGATCTATTGAAACTTGATAATGCGCGAAAAGGACTAGGGGCGTTAATGGTCATTTCCTGCCTCATCGGGGATTAAGAACAGTTGTTATAATCGTAATCTGGAATAAATGAAGTAAACAAATATGAAATTTCAAATTCATTCGATAACTGGTGTAGGCGATAGGGCATTACAAAGAGAGACATAAACCCACATTTTCATAATAAAATGCGTGAATATCGTGTGTTATGCGCTATTTGATTGCAAATTGGCCATTTGTAAGGAAATTACCAATAAATACTCTTTAACTTTAAAAAAAAACACCTGCATGCACCAAACCAAATAAATATTCGAAATGTTTGAACATTGTCATACAGTGTTCATTCGTAAAAAAGGGAATTTTAGCTTGTCACATGCATAGGCTTTCATGTCTGCATGCTAACTGTCCTAAACACCCATATTTTGGCTATTTCTGCACAGCATCGCAAATTTGTTGCTATTGTAGGGCATCTTTTCATTCACATTGGGGAAAATCTGCTTTAAGAAAGATAGCCCCAATTAAACAATATGACATTTATAACAGAATTTGGTAAATAAATTCAAGCTGACAAGTTAACCTGTGATGAGGCACTTTTGATAACCACTGGATTTATATGCGAGAGATTCGTCAAATCACATCTAGGCTGTTACATTTTAATTTGCCAGGTCCCTCCAAACTCTAAATCTCTCAATATCTTCTATCCTCGCGATTTCTTTCTCTTACTTTTTAGCGTATAACATATACTCAACAAACTAATCTGGATGTCGCTCCGTTTTGGTTATTTCCACAGTACTCATGTCAAAACCTAAAAATAGACAAGACGTTTTATACCACAATGTTTGGCCCGGCATATGTAATTCTTACTTCCGATTGAAGTTGCTCGGCGTTGGAATTATAGCGTTATGTTATGTACTGTGCTAAATCATGTTGTTTTTATGAAGAAAAAAAATATATTCGTTAATTTTGAACTAAAACGTGTTGTCTGTCTATAAGGAATAGCTTTGACCATTTCTCACTCGTGATTGATGTACATTTAAAGGTTATCATAACTATTGCTTAAGTAGTAAACAGATTGAGTATGAATAAGTACAAAAATATTGCATGGAACATCTAAATAATGTGGATCCCATGCAAAAAGGTTTTTTTCAACATCTTGTGAGGTAAAATTGAATAAAACAATATGAGCAACTGTTCCAAAACATCTGCTTTTCCCCCTTTTTTCCTTCCTACTCGTTCGTTTCGTTAGTGTCTCCTTAGGTATTTCTGGTTATCCCGGTGTCAGTATAATGTAACTAAAGTTGAGTGTCTTGCTATTCATTAAAGTGGCCCAATCTTTTTAGACGCCATCTTTATACGACATGATGTGAAAGTGACAGAACAGACAGACATACAGGCAGACGGACAAACAACAAAAACGATCAAGAAATATAAACGTTAAAGGAAAGACATACAACTATAGCAATATAACTTTCCATGTTAAAATTGAGTCAAGTACGATCAATAAATGTTATAACTCAAGTAAGTCTGTCATATTGTTCATTTTTTATAAATCATAAATCACACAAAACAAGAGAATAAACTGATTGGTATTTCTGTCTTCCCTATGATCGCATTAAGTGAGTGATTAACGTCTGAGATACGTGTTTTGTGTGGGGACTGGTAAGCAAGTCCAGAGACCAATGCTACTGGAGAAGAAATCCGGAAAACGTTGTTGTACCGCTTTTGCCTCTTATGTAAGTTCCAGAATAAGTTACACCTACTCGGATCCAAACTTCGTCTCCTTGGTCCAGATGCACCACCACGGATCCTGTCCCACCTGTGCTGTACTCCGAGTCTCCAGAGAACGCAGTCCCAATAACGACACCGTTGTTGACTAGTTCCGGGAACATATAACGACGACTAACGTGCACGGTCCACGAAAACGCATACACGCCCGCATGTGTACATGTGAAAGTACCCGTGTTTCCACTGTAAGAGCCCCCAAGATTAGTTATCACACGGTCGAAATGTATTTCCATAAGATGAACCACCGAGGAGTAATCATGAGAAAGAAAAGCATAAAATGCCACCATACCTTCATTGTTCGGGGAAACACGTTTTATAATCCCTTGGTTACTTGTTTCCAACGTTGGACTTGCTAACTCAGAATTTCTGGGATTGAGTCCAACACTTCTCGTTTTCCTAACTTCATGTCACCTTTTGGGAAAATCAACAGACAAAACTCCAGACAATGTTCGAAAACGATATTCTGTCTTAACGTCTTGATCACTCCGATACAGCTACCGTCACTGGTTCCTTACAGGGCACACACAGGTCTTCATAGCACCTACGTTTACCGATAAGATAAAAACATATGCCATGTTACAATCCTGGACGCATGTGTACCAACTGTTGGTAAAATGCATAGTAAAATTATTCAATATTTTGAATTAATATAATAACAAGAGGCCCAAGGGCCTTAGCGGTCACCTGAGTTATATCATAGGTACTGGTAGCTTAATTTTATTGTTTAGATGTGATGTGGAAATCAGCATGTAAACTAAGTGAAATACAATACTTGTCATGTCATTAAAGGATAAGAATTTTAAAATATTTGTAAATGTTCCTTTTGGGGCCCCGCTCTAACCCCTGGGGATGGGGCAGGAATTCCAAGTTTACAATGTGATATCGTCATCCACCAAA